CAAACAGCAAACAAACAATTAACAGACAAACTACATTGAGGGAGGGGAGGACAGCGGCAAGGGGTTGAGGCTGAGGTTGAGGTTCACGTGGCCGCCGGGTCATAAATAACGTCGCGGTTTGACTCGTGCGACCCTCAGCGCTGTCAATTGGCCCGATTGACTTTTGGCCATAATTTTTGCGTCTCACGCTCGCCCCCGACCCTCGCTCTGCAAGTCTGGCAACGCTCACGTGTTACTTGAGATGAGAAAAAAAAAAAAGAGTGGAAGAAAAGTGCGACACAATAAATTGTTGAGGTCGTGGCTCATAAATTCAATTGACAACTAAATTGCAGTCGCTTGGCCACCGGAGACGCTTCGACACGGCCACCTCCGGCTCTGGCTGCGCTGCGTTTCCGGCGGTAGGTGCAAACGACAACGTTGCCAGAGTGTTTTGCTGCCTCGCCTCGCCGTCTCCGCCGTCGCCGTTGCCGTTGCCAGTGTTGTTGGTCGTTTCTAAACTTTGCAAGTGCGCGTGATTTTTGATATTTCATGTCGGAAGCGGGTCATTTTCAGCGGCATAAATCACAATGGGCCCGCAACGGAAGCGACCTGTTGCCGACCACTCTCTCCCTCTCTCCCTCTCTTTGCATTTCCCTGACAGTCTGGGTTTTTTTTTAAAGTTTCCCTTTTAATTGTATTTTTTAGTTTATTGCTTAGGCAAATTGTTTTTATCGGCGCACAACTAAATTAGCAACATTTTCCAGCTTGTTGCCGTCATCAGCATTATTATCGACCAGCGGCGGCCTTTTCTAGGGGAGGGGGGGGTTGGGCAATAAGAACAACAACAACAATGAATTGATTTATGAGCAACTCGTGCACAAATCTCGGGGGGTTGCCATAATGACTATGCTGGGAGTTAAGTGAACCGCGAAAAGGGCCATGAATACCAAATATTTGGACATCAATAGGCAACATAGCATGGGAAAAAGTTGCTCCTTGAACTTTTTGCGGGCCAGCCCAACTCATGCTCATATGTATTTTTGACCAAAAAAAGGAGAATAGAAAAAAATTTCAAATTTTAAGCATTTAAAAAAAGATGAGCACATAAATTGAAGGCGCAGCGCGTCAGTGCGCGAAGCTGTCAAAAAGGACGCGGCGCAAAAGCGTCGTAGAAGAAGAAGCACAGCCAGTGTTGGCAACGTTGCGCCAGTTGGCACAGCACAATTTTCAATTTATTTTCACAGCCTGAAACAATTACGACAGGCAACAACAACAAAAAAAAAGCAGGAGGTAAAAAAAAAAATGAAGAGAAATACAAACTGTGCGCAAATGAAATCAGAAATTAAATTTGAAGTGAGCAAAACATACGGCGCCCCCGCACAGCAGGGTCAAGAGGGAGGGGAGGGGGAGGGGAGGGGACATTGGCACAATGTGGGCGTACTCTCTCTCTGTCTCTCTCTCTCTCTGTGTGTGTGGGTGTGGCAGAAGTTAAACACCCGCTGGGCGTCCAGAATGGGGTCTAATGCCGTTCACAGATTATCAGATTATGCTGCAAAACTTGACGGGAGATGCGCGCGCGATAGGCAAATGTTTCGGGCAGAATGTTACGGGCATTTGCAATTTCATTTAATTTTAATTAAATCTTTTAACAACAAAGCAACAACATTTTTATGTCTACATAACTGTTCATAATTATAGTTGAGAGTTTTTAAATATGTTTAATTCTTGAAGGGTTCTGTTGTCAAACAACGTGATTGGAGGTCTAAATTATAAGTAGCAAAAAAATAGATAAGCAAATATTAGTTTAGGTTTATAGGTACAAAATAAAAATCGGAGATTTCCCGTTTTTATTTGAGTGTACCAAAACTGGAAACGGTTTAGGAAGATCAAGAAGTGATAAAGAAAGAAACTTAAACCTCGAGAAAAAAGCAAAACCTAAGAAATATAACAATATTTTTCAAAAGATTGTTTAGTTGACTTGTTTAGATTGTTTATTAGACTGTAGACTATAGACTATAGACTATAGACTATAGACTATAGACTATAGACTATAGACTATAGACTATAGACTATAGACTATAGACTATAGACTATAGACTATAGACTATAGACTATAGACTATAGACTATAGACTATAGACTATAGACTATAGACTATAGACTATAGACTATAGACAAGACTATCTCCTTGCCAAATAGTTTAGAATAGAAGACTTTATGCGAGGAAGCGAAGACTCCCAGCAGAATACTCTGTAATGCTTGTGGTAATCATCGCAGAGGACCCGAAATGCAACTATGGTCAGTTGACCAAAATTTAAAGGTTAAAGATGTAAAGCTAAGTGTAAATCTAATATGGATAGATAAGTTTAGTTCGCTAGTCCACCCAGAAGAGTTGATTTTACTCGTAATTAACTTATGAATAAATATTACAACAAGCATAGTTCTACGATTAATTAAAGAAGGAAGATTAATCATCAGAAGTCTACTGTAGTATGACCTAAGCCGCACAGGAGGATCCCAGTTAAAAACAAGTAGGGAATTGGTGACTCTAAGACTGTAGCCTCAAAATGTAGTTACCTTCAAACTGTGACTCTGGGAAATAAAGAATTTCACCTTGCAGAAAGACAATGAACTCTCTTTCACAGTCGAAACAGTGTATGACAATTATACAAATAAAATATAATATAAAATATAAAATAAAATATAAAATAAAATAAAACATGGGCCTTGACAGATTACTTCAACATCTTTGACATTTAACCCTCTTATTATACAGATAAAGGGTTTCTCTTAGTGCAATAAATATTTCAATTAATTAATAATTATAACAATAAATCATATTTTACAATATCTCGAATCTAAACATTATCATCTTTGCCAATTCAACCCTCTAGTTAAACCGAAAGTTGTTTCTTTTTTCGTTGCAATAAATATTTAAATTAATTAAGCTGTTATCCCGAGTACTACAAATAATCACATCTTGTTTACTTTATCTAAACCGAAAATAAAAGCAAGAATGCCGCCGCTCAATTGTCCGTGCCTAAAGTGTGTCTCACACTCTGAACGAGCTACCAGCTACCCTTCAATAATTTACACTCTCTCCTCCTTCTCGGCCTCTGTCCCTCTGTCAGGCACGCTGTCAGCGACGCGTGCGCCCTAATGCGCTTCACATAACATTTTGATCATTTTATGATCTGTCGATTAGCCTCATTGTCTCTGCCAAGAGGACAACCCTCTGCGTCCGTCCGACCGTCCGTCCGTGTGACTGTGCGCTTAATAGGATTAGCTCTGAAGAGCACTTAAGAGTCAAATTATCAACGGCTGGCAACGCTGGCTGGCATCACAGCAATTGTTGTGACTGTTGCGTTCTGTATGTTTACAGTGGCAAAGACATCAGCTCATCGTTTGTTTGCCCAACTTTCCCACTGTGTTGTGTCCTGCTGAGGGGCGAAGCCTACGCGTTGCCAGCTTAGATTAGATTCTAGGCATCAAAGTCAAGTGGTGCTTGCAATTGAGACATTAAGCTATTCCCCCTAATGCTACAGGTAGTTCACACGAACATTAAGTTCATGTTCAATTATATAAGCAAGGTGGCAACACTGTTAGTTTTCTTTCTAAGTTCTAAGGGATATACATTAAGATATTCGGCCAATATCTCAGTTAGTTCACACGAACATTAAGTTCAGGTACAATTAAATGTCATTAACACATCTTATTCAGAGTGTAAACAAGGTGGCAACACTGTTAGGTAAGACTACATTATTTGCTTTCTAAGTTCTCTAAGTTATCAAGTGATATTCATTAAGATATTCCCCCAGTATCTCAGTTAGTTCATATGAGTATGAAGTGCATGTAGTATTAATTGTCATCAACACATATTTTTCAGGGTATAAGCAAGGTGGCAACACTGTTTGTTAAATTATTAACAGCTCGTTAAATTGCTTTCAAGGTAAGCCACATGGCAATGCCACATCTCAATGGACGTTTCAGCTTGAAAACTTTTCAATGAAAAGTTGAAAAATTCACCAGGTTTGAATATTTTAATCAAATATTTTTAACATACATTTTCAAATACGTAAACAAGGTGGCAACACTGCTATTAAGTCTGCTACCAAATATTAACAGCTTGCTTTAAAAGTTCTGGTTAATATAACTAGCATAAGCTTCAGAAAACAACATGTTAAAGTCCTTGGTGAAGTGCTTGTTAAATTTAACATATACATAAGTATACACACACTGTGAATTAAGCGTGTTTCAGCAGTTCATTTTTCAATTCAGCTATTTTCTGAATTAAATTTAAATGTTCTATTTTTGTCGTTAGTCAAAAGCCGTTTAATATGTTAAACTGGCTTAGCATCTCTGGCAAATATTTGTATGGCCAATTTGTACTCAGAGCTGATTTAGCTATTTCTAGCTATTTTTAGCAGTGAATTAAATAACATTGGCAACACTGTTTGTTAGGGTGGTTTAACAAGGTGTACATTTTAAATATAACTTCTTTATCTTCAAGTCAAATATATAATCGTCCAACTTTAACTTCTAGTCAAATATATAAACTTAAAAGTTGTTGTCTAAGTTCTGCCTTTTAAAGTTGAGCGTTTCTTAGTTCTGCCAAACAGAAAAATTGATAGAGTCGTCTGACATGCATCAAAATTTATTATAACTAGCTTGCACAAACAAGCACATGCTTGCAAATTTTATCAGGTGTCCCTTTTTCTAATTAGATAACCTAGTAAAAAAAATGACAACAAGAATTTAAGCAAACAGCATGTTAAAATATATGTGTTCTTTGACATGAACATAATTTTAACATGAACATAAAAACGGCTAACAACTGGGCTGCCCTTGAGTAGCAGCAGCGCCCTCTGTTGGCGCGTAGACGGCAGCTGAGCTGCTTTTGTTGCTGGTTCTTGTCCAGACTGAAAGCTGTCAAGGCTAAGCTCACGCGATTGACACGCGAATTTTAGAGCATTCCAGTAATAAGATATAGTTGATATAACTTTGAGAAAACTGAATACTCACAGAGTGAATTGCTGGCATTGTTGTGGCCGTTGCTGCTGCTGGCGTTGCTTTTGCCGACGCTGTGCCTGCCCAGCTCGCTGCTGGACGCCGATGCGGCTGCCGTGGAGGACGAGGCGACGGCGGCATGCGAGGACGTTGTGGCGCAATCCAGCGTCGATTTCTCTGCAAGGAGAATAAAAGAGGAGAAAATAGAAAGAAACAAACAAATTTTAATTGCTAGGCAGCACAAATTTGCACACTCAGCGCGACACGCTTCGCCATTCGGCATGGAGCAGACCACAGAGCAGGGTCCAGTCATAAATCTCAACATAGATAATTGTCAGCGGCGGCATCAAAACGTAACTGGCCCGTTTATTTATTGCCCAAATTATGGTTGGTCCTGGTAGCTGGTGCCGCCGCCCAACCATGACGCTCGCCTGACACGCAACGCCGCTCGGCAGCCACCCCCAGACAGACAGACAGACGGACAGACAGACGGAGAGCCTGTGAACCGCAAAGGATATAATCGCGAGGGTTGTCACTTCAGACATTAGACCAGCAACAGCAGCAGCAGCCGTAGCCGTGTTTAATTGCCGTAAATCTTTGTTTGATGTAAACAACAATAAGCGCGCCGGCGAAATTCGCAACGCTTTCAATTGAAATGTCAATGCAGAGCTTGATGTCCATGTCCGATAATGGCCATAAAGATGAGACTGAAACTAACATGAGTTGAGTGCCTGGGAACGTGACTGTGTCATAATTGAAGCTCCTAAAGATAGTCAAATACGATAATAAACTTAGGCTAACCGAAGGTAGGCGAAAGTCTAAAGATGGCAAGTTAGAACCTTTAAAGAGAATAGAGTTTTCTCGAGAAATAATTGATCACAATTGTGCACCTAAAGTACACACTAACTAGAGCTCATACCTTAAACAAAATGACCACGTTTTTGTAAATCGCTTTACTTTTGACAGAGTTATGAAAGTTTGTAGACTAGACAGATTGGATACAATGTCATATTTTTTTGTTAATTTTGGCAAGTTTCTTGAGAGAGTTTTGGAACGGCTCACAATAATTTTTAACATAGCTTTTTATACAAGTTTTTAAGCCCACAATCGATAACAAATACAAATATTGGATTCTACATCTATAGTTAATTCTGAAACCGAATAAGGAAAAGAATGATAAAATTTACTATACAAGATATTTTCACAAAAAAAAAAATACTCCAAAAATTGTATTGATTACAATTTAGAGGTTAAACCATGACCAGAATGCGCTCATTCATCAAAATGAGGTTAAGTTTTGGCAAAGTTTTCGAAGTTTGAAGTTAAATAAAGCCATTTACTAAGGGATCGTCACTTTTTAAGCCCAAATTTTAGGCATTTTTGGCTTGACTTTGAAATGAAATTTAGACGATCTGAAAATCATTTTAAAGCCAGCATTTCTTACTCAGTTTTACAAACAGAATTAATTGGAAATAACATTTAAAAATGCCAAGCAATGAGTAAGGAGGGGAAGGCATGGTACATAATACTTAGAAATAAATTTATTTAAAAATTAATTTTTAAATAGACCTAGATTTGCTTGCAAAATCAATCCAGCGGACAAACCAGGAGCACAGAACCATCAAGCATAAAAAACGGTTCACTTTTGGCCGAGTTATGATAGTTCGAATTTTGTACCGGAAGTACCATGCTCTTCCCAAATTTATCTTTATGTATATAACTGACTGACTGAACGTAGTTTTTATACTTTGCAAAATGTTGCCTATAATAGGCAGGGAAAAATTATTGACAAGGAATTGCTCGTTTCTTGTTTTCGTTCTTAGCTGGTTCTTAGTAGAAGGACAATACGATACGACTCCTATACAAAATGTTGGGGAGCGTAATTATCTTTTATGTGCTTTGTGAGCCAAACGTTTTTCAGCAAAAATAATGAGTTACGCATGACAAAGTTCCTTTATGCGATGGCAGCAGAGCAGAAGGCAGCAGCAAAGTTCATAAAGAGAACTAGAGAGAGAGAGAGAGAGAGAGAGGGGCAGTAAGAGAGAGAGAGAGTGGGAGAGAGGGCGAGAGATAGAGTGGGAGAGAGAGGGGAGAGAGGTGTACTGGCCTCGAGAGACAGCTTAAAAGGATTCATTTCATATTTGCTTGAGCGCGTCGAGGCTGGGTTTGAGTTTGGTTTCGGCTGGCGGCCATTTTGGGCCACCCTAAAGCCAAGTCAAAGGGACTTGCTTGCTTGTCATATTGAATTCCGGCTTACCAAAAACAGGCCACAAAGCCAAGACGATTAAAAAGTCCAAAAAAAACCAAGCAAACGGAAGTGACTGACTAGGAGATACCCTGTATCCAAATATTGTAGGTGTTTTCTATACATACATATACAATACAAAAACATACAGACATCCCCACACTATGGGACTAGCTTCGGTACTTAATGTCCGATTTTTTTTAAGTTTTCAGGGCTTTAATTTGGCATTCACAGGTATGATGCTACCAAGGAGCAAAGCTTTACAACCCTGAGGGTTGTAGTGAATTATCTTATATATACTATACCAGAATTTATTTACCTATTGTTGTAATCTAGCTTTAATACTTTTCAAGCTATGCCTAAAGAGCCAAGTTCCGACGTCGATATTTATCGATATTATACAAATTAGAAGATATTTCGAAAAAACAAAAAAATATTAAACTTATTTTATTAAATATAGACCATACGAGAACCTGCATACCAAGTTTGTTGTTATCTAGCTTTTATACATTTCGATCAAGGCCTAAAAAACCCTTTTTGTCACCATCGATACTTATCGATATTCGAGCTTTGCCTAAAAGATCACTCTCCGAAGCAATACTTATCGATATTATCAAAATAATAGAATATATTGGAAAAATAATTTTATGTTTTTTATGTCTTGTATTTGCTCTTCGAAAATGTAAGTTGATATTTTCGAGCTTTGCCCAAAAAACCTTTGCCGCAAAATCGATATATATCGATATTATGAAAATGATAGGAGATATCGAAAAACTAATGTTGACTCATTCTAAATATTATATAGGAGACTATAATTTTCGAACTCCGAGTCTGTGTCTTCTGTAGGCACACGGACTGATAAAAAGCCGGACTGACAGCCGGACTGAGAGACAGACGGACAGACAGGCAGACTCAGCTAGAAAATGCCTCCCTCCGCATCTTACATACATTCCCACAAAAACCAACTACCCGCTTTAGCCATTTTCAAAGAGTACAGGGTATACGAAAAAAAAAGAGACGAGAATAGGAAAGAATTTCTTATAGATATAAGTGGACACAACATGACGGAGGCGGCATAACAAATTCTCGCCAGGCACGCGATGCTATTGTGGACAGTGCATTTTTGATGTTTCTATCCAAGCACAGACACACACACACACACACACACACACACACACACACACACACACACATGCATACACTGCCCACCCGGCCCCCTTTGTGGTCGCATTATAAGCCACATCCGTTGCGCGGGCTTAAATTGATAAACAAGTGGAGGGAGGCAACTGCAAGCAAGACCTTGACGTTTATATGGATAATTCAATTTGGCTTTTTATAATTTCTTTTATTTTCATTTTTGGGCCACAACAACAACGAAAATTATGTCCAGCTAGCGCTGTTTTTGCCACATTTTTTGTGGCCCATAAAATGTAACGAACATTTTTCGGCGCTCGCCGGGCCTTTGTGGGCGGCGGCCAATGGTCAACATATGCTGCTTGGATGTGTTTAAATAAATATACGCGAAATTTGCCACTTTTGTAAAAGAAACAACAATTGTTTTCTCCTCTTCTTTTTTTTTTGGTAGCTTTGGCTCTGCCGGAAGCGCAGGATTTGTTTTTCCGCCATTTCGCTGACATTTGTGTTAGACCCACGGCGAGAAGGTCAGTGGGTTGCTCTACGTCTAAAAGCAGCTAAACAAGCTGCTAAAATGGAATTTTTGATTGCAAAATATACGAACGGACGGGGTTGCAATCATACCTTTAAACCTAGGGCTGTAAGCTAACATAATGTGGTTCGGTTCACGGATTAAACCAAAAACTGACTGCCTTGGGACGAAGAGCCAATATATCGAAACTGGGAACAGATTTGTTTTAATCAGCGTTGGGTACATTAGAAATGTGGTCAGGGAATTGATTAACACTTCGAACCGGTTCTGGCTCAGGGCTGGAAACACAGAAAATAGGGTTGGTGACTCGGCTTAGCTTCGAACCTGTTCCCTGGCTTAAGGTGAACAACCAGGTTCCCGAACCTAAGAATAGATCTGTTTAATTCTGAGTTAGAAGCATCAAAAATGTGGTCGGTGGTTCGGTTTATGCTTCAAACCAGCTCTCTTCCTTAAGGTGGACAACCAGACTCACGAACTAAAGAATTTGTTCGAAACATCAAAACTATGATCGGTGGTTCGATTCACTGGTCAAACAAATTCCTTGCCTGAAGGTCGACAACCAGCTTCACGAACTGAGGAACAAATTTGTATTGATCAGGGTTAGATACATCAAAAACATGGTTCGTGGTTTGGCTAACGCTTTGAACCGGCTTCGGCTCAGGTTTGGAAACACCAAAAATCATGACGGCAGTTCGGGTTACGTTTTGAAACAGCTCCCTGCGCCAAGGTGGATAACTAGGCTAAAGAGCCTATGAATAGATCTGTTTTAATCAGGGCTGGAAACATCAAAAGAATGATTCGGCTTGCGCTTTGAACTGGCTTCGGCTCAGGGTCGGAAACACCAAAAACATGGTCGGTGGTTCGATTTAGGCGTCGAACCAGCTCCCTGCCTTAAAGTAAACAACCAGGTTTACGAACCAAGGAATACATTTATTTTAATCAGGGTTGGAATCACCAAGATAGGGTCGAAGCAGTTTCTGTGGTTCAGCTTACGTGTCGAATCAGCTCTCCGCCTTAAGATTCGATTCGTGAACCTATCATAAGTTCGAGTCTTGTTTCTGTGATCAAAAATATGGTTTGGTTCGGGTTTTGCTTAGCCTTTTTTTGTGGTCAACTGATTTGGTTCATGTTTAAAAGTAAATTTTTCGGGCTCGAACCGGTTCAGTTCTAAACCAGATGCTGAACATATATATATATAGTTTTATCGATCAGAGATGCCTTTCACTGTCAGACCGAATAGATTGAAATGAAGTTTTTTTTGCGTCTTCGTACCTGTTCGAACTTTGTGCTCCACATGCGAGGTGGTGGACGCTGATAGCGACGGCAGCACCGAGGGCGAGCTGACCGCATCCAAGGTGGCAGCCGGCACATGTCCCGCGCTGGACGTGATGACGCCGTGCTGTGTGCCGGCGGGCGAGCAGCCCGATGGAGGCTGCAGTGTGTCCAGGCGATGCCGCTGCACGCTGCTGCTGCCCAGGACGCCGGCGCTGCTGCTGCTCACCGTGTTATAGTTGAGCACGCCCACGCCCACTCCGACGCCCACGCCCACACCGACGCCGACGCCGGCGCCTGCGTTGTGCGTGAGGCCGAGACAATTGCCGGCGCCAGTTCCATTCTGCATGGCGGGCAGTGTGTCCAGCGTATCGGTCAGCCGCTGGCTGGAGTAGATGTCGCTGCAAGGCACACCCGAATGGCATTAGAGTGGCTGGAAGTGGGGAGAGCTCTCACCTGGTCGACTCACCTGAAGGCGCTGCTGGCACCAAAGAAACTGCTGCGATCCTGCAGCGCCGCCTTGGCCTTCTCGACGCTCTGCTTCAGCTGCTCGAAGGTCGACTGATGGAACCGATACGAGGTCCAGTCCGGCGAGCATTGGCCCAACGTCAAACAGTCCTCCGTTTTCACCTGGGCCAGCGTCGGCGGCGACACGCGCTTCAAGTCCAGCGCCGTTTGATACGAACACGAGTTCTCGTACATGGCGCGTCCCTCCGAACCGTCAACGGCTACGTGTTGGTTAAGCAATGGATTCCACTTGACTCTGCAAACACAGAAATCAACTAAATATATTACCCATTTTTATATAAAAAAAATAATAATTAATATAGTTAATTGTTAGGTATTTCTTTTTAAGGCGTGGGAAATAATTATTTAATGATTTCCGTAGAAAAACATATTTTATTTAATTTTAGTTTGTGCTTATGTAACTTAAGTACACTCAGAGAAAGAATCTATCAATTTGTACTCTTATCAAAATCGATTTCAGAGAAAACCAAAACCTTTTTAGATATATTTCTATAATCCAGTAAATTCTTAAAAGTATAGGCAATATTTTAGAAGCTTTCGAAATATATAAAGTACACATAATGGGGATTTCTTAGAATCTTTTATATTTCAGTTTAAGCATTGGTATTTTATTTTTCTCAGACTGTAAATATGATGCCTTCTTCCAGGCAATATATTTTTTGAAATATATATATATATAATATATACTACATCTGTAGTGTAATATATATAGTACGCATAATATGGATTTTTTTAGAATCTATAAGATTTGTATTTAGAGATAAGAGTCTAAATCGTCTCTGATTATAAATATTATGCGTTCTTCCATATATATATATCTAATATATATTAAATATATAGCGCGCACTATATAAACATTTTGTTGAATCTATAATATTTATGTTTAAGTATCTTACTGCGTTCCTCCAGTTCCAAATGCTTTAAGGAGATCAATAGGGCCGAAAAGTCCCTTTAATGATATATATATCTAGATCTATCGGTTGAAAATTGAAAATTGTGACTAGCTTTGAACTGGCAACTTCACGCAGTCAGCACAGACACTTGCATATGTATAGATTACTTATATAGGAACGATTGCTCGAAATATCCGCTGTGTGTAGAGAGCTATGAAACTATATATTATCTTAATCTTTCGCATTTCAAAGATAACAATTGTTAGCTCTTTCTCTTTTATATCTTACTAGGAGCACTTTGCTCTTCATTTTATTCGATTTCAATTATTGATTTCCAATGCAAATAATGATTATTTAAAATAATAAACATAATCAATATTTTGTATGGAAACATTTGAGCCAAAAACATTCCTAAAAGTTAAAGAAAATAATGCTCGAATTCGATTTTTAGGGGAATATAATTTGCTTGAATAAATGTGCCTGAATTTACATGTGATAATGCACATAAATCACAGCGAATGGCCTGCAATTAATGACTGCAATTTTAAAATATACTCAGAGACTGGCTACACTAGCCAACATAATTAGTGTTAGCTGTTGTGCTCTGTGGCTCCCGAAGATATATGCATAATTATCTGCTTCGGGTTATTTATGGTGCGGGGCCAACGCTGAGCGTATGAGCGTTATGCGTGGACGACGGCCATTTGAGCGTGCATTTCTAATGCAGCTATTGTTTGCCATGTGTGTGCCAGTGTGTGCTGTGTGTGTGCTGTGTGCCAGTGTGTGCTGTGTGTGTGTGTGTGCTGTGTGTGCCATGCAAATTTTTGCACTCTGCCTTCATCGGAAGTTGCTGAATTTTGATTTATGCCAACGAAATTTATGCCACAACAGCAGCAACAATAACAAGTAAGGGAGCTGCAAGCGAGTGTGCCCGACTAGCAGATACCCTACACAAGGCACCTAGCTTTCTTCAATGCATACAAAGCCAAGTCACAGTGTGCGCTTCTTCTTTTCTCAGCCTTAGCCCTGAGCCTTAGGCTTTGTATGAAATTTCCATTCTTGACTTAGCTTGGCTCCTTAGAGTCCGATGTCTATGAAAATTTCAGATCTTAAATATGGCATAACATACCATAGATACCCTAGCCTAAGACTTGACATTAAAAAATGCGTTTATTTGAATTTTGTGGAGAACAGCTTGCGAAATATTCATAATGATATTTCTAGTTCTTATATTATTTCTATCTAGAGATTTCTAGCTCTTATATTATCGAAGAAATGCTTAAAAAAACCCCATGTCTCCAAATCGATAATTATCGATAGTATGAAATTAAGAGAATATATTAAGAATATCATGATTTGATAAAGGAGAATATCTAATTAAATTTTGAGGTTTTGTAGGGAACAGCAATGGCATAGCCTTGAGCTGAAATATTGTTAATATGCATATGATATTCGGGAATATACAAACCAAATTTCTATCTACAGACATCTAGCTCTTGTATTATCGATTATTATCGATAGTCTGAAAATGAATGCAGATATCGAGAACATAGAAAATATGGAGATATAGTATAGGAGTATAAGTATCTGTAGCTCTAAGACTTTTCGAGACTGGCGTGTTCACACAAACAGACAGACGGACAGCCATGGCTCCAGCGACACGTCTCTTGCTGCTGATCAAGAATATATATGCTTAATGGGGTGGAAGATATCTGCTGCTGCCTGTTACATACATATATTAGCATAAGGGTGTCAGGGTCTTAGACAACCTAGACCCCTTTTAACCATCTCTTCTGCGTGCTGCGTATAACAAGAGGCCTTAAATTTTGAACGCACTTTGTGGCAGCTTAAAGCGTGGCAGCAACAACAAGTACAACAACAACAACAACTGGCATTTGGCTATCTGCAACGTCATCAGACATTACAGAGACTGACATTATAAACGGGCCATGCACACGCCTTGTTTATTATTATTTATCATATTGTGTTTGCAAGCAAATTGCGTGGACCTGGGCCCAAAGCAGTTAGGCACAAGGCGCAAGGCGCAAGGACACGCCGAAGGACGAACACGCAGCCATTTTGAAGTTATCGCATTTCGTTGCTCGTTCGAGAGGCCGCGCGAGCGCGCGCATACCGGAAATACGCGCAGGATGCCAGGATGTCGGGATGCCGGGCTGCCGGGATGCCGGGATGCCGTGATGCTGCGGCCATGGGGTACGACGCGTGGCTATGCTGGGCTGTATAAAAAAAAGATTTGACGAGCATACGCATACATATGCTAAACACACAAACACACACAGACTCAGGCACATACTTTGCATATAGAGCTAATGACATAATGCCCGCGCGCAGCATTTTAATTAACAGGATGAGGACACACGCGCCGTCTGAGGGCACTTTAATGGTTTGTAAGATTTACCTATCAGCTCTGGTTAATGGGAGTTTTTTTCTTCTCATTCTTCTTCTTACTTTCGTGTGGGGGCGTGGTCATTTAACACGCACTTACATTCGTGATTTGGTAAATGTAATTTTTTGCAGCTGTGAAAAAAGCCGGCGGCTTTTGAAATGACGTTTAGCTGAACTTTGAAAAATCTGGCTTTGTCTTATATAATATCTAGAGGGAGTGGGAAATTTGAACCTTTGTCTATATAGGATATTTGGGGGTGCCATATTTAGATGAATTTCGACCAAACATAATGTTGCCAGATTTTGAAGCCAAATTGATCTAGAGGCCAAATCATTAACAAAAAGCCAAACCTCTTGAAAATCGGATGAGTTTTGACCGAGTTATGGGAGTGGGAAATTTCGGCCCATGTCCATATAGGATTTCAGAGGGTAACATTTAACATAAATTTCGACTAAAAATTATGTTCCCAGATTTAAACGCCAGATTATTTTAGAGGAAAAACCATGAAGAAAAAAATAAACCTCGTGAAAATCGGTTGAGTTTTGGCCGAGTTATAGGGGTGGGAAATTTTGACCCATGTCTATATACGAATCCTAGGGGTAAGATTTGACATGAATTTCGACTAAAAAATGTAATGTCAGATTTAAATGCCAGATTATTTTAGAGGAAAAACCATGAAGAAAAAACTAAACCTCGTGAAAATCGGTTGAGTTTTGGCCGAGTTATAGGGGTGGGAAATTTTGACCCATGTCTATATACGAATCCTAGGGGTAAGATTTGACATGAATTTCGACTAAAAAATGTGTGTTCAGATTTGAATGCCAGATTATTTTAGAGGGAAAACGATGAACAAAAAGCCAAGCCTCATGAAAATCGGTTGAGTTTTGGCCGAGTTATAGGGGTGGGAAATTTTGACCCATGTCTATATACGAATCCTAGGGGTAAGATTTGACATGAATTTCGACTAAAAAATGTAATGTCAGATTTAAATACCAGATTATTTTAGAGGAAAAACCATGAAGAAAAAACTAAACCTCGTGAAAATCGGTTGAGTTTTGGCCGAGTTATGAGATTGGGAAATTTTGACCCATGTCTATATACGAATCCTAGGGGTAAGATTTTCACATGAATTTCGACTAAAAAATGTGTGGTCAGATTTAAATGCCAGATTATTTTAAAGGGAAAACCATGAACGAAAATCGAATCCGGGTGAAAATCGGTTTAGCTTTGGCTGAATTAGGGGGGTGGGAAATTTTGACCCATGTCCATATAGGATATTTGAGGCTACCATTAATAGATGAATTTCGACCAAAACTACTGTTGCCAGATTTTGATGGCAAATTGATCTAGAGAACAAAAAGCTAAACCTATTTGAGATTTGAGCAAGTTATGGGATTGGGAAATTTTGACCTATGTCTATATGGATCGGCGCGTGGCTCGAACAAAGGCCTCGTTTCAAAGTCTGGTTCGTTAACTGGGTTCACAGAATCTTCGAACAAATTTCAAAACATATTTTTTCATATGAAAACAGATATTTGTTGGAGCTTAACAGTTTTTAAAAAAGAATTGGATCGGTTTAAATTCGACTTATCTCTATAGAACTACTCCAATCTAAGGCTCTTCTTGGCACAAACCAATTTGGACTTCCGAGTTCGAGTCAGTTTTAACACCCCGGATCTTCGACTTCTAGGATCAAGCTCATAGAGGTTAAGATTATAATTTTTCAGCTAAAGGTGACCTTACCTGATATATTATATGGGTAAACTATTGAAAAATTCAACCCCTTGACTAGTTTTAACAATTGTTCTCTAAACTTATTGTGGTTATTTCGATTTCTTTATGATTTAACAAAGGTTCATAAGAACTTCGTTTGAATCCGGTTTTGAAAAATAATATCAAAAAATGTGATAATACCATTGTCATAATAACAAATAAACTGATCAGTTAAAATTATGCTGATCAATGTAGTCACTTCGTGCAATTCGTGATTTATTAATACAATAATAATAAAACAGTATAAAATAATACAAATTATAATAATGATAATATTTATAGTAACAATAATAATAATAAAAACAATAATAATAATAATAACAATAGTAATAATAATAATAAAAGCAATAATAATGATAATGATAATAACAATAATAATGATAATGATAATAATAATAATAATAATAATAATAATAATAATAATAATAATAATAATAATAATAATAATAATAATAATAATAATAATAATAATAATAATAATAATAATAATAATACTAATAATAATAAAAACAAAACTAATAATAATAAAAACAATAATAATAATAATAATAATAATAGCAATAATAATGATAATGATAATAACAATAATAATGATAATAATAATAATAATAATAATAATAAAAATAATAATAATAATATTAATAATATTAATCAAAGTAATAGCAATAATAATAATGATAATAATGATTACAATAATAAAATAAAAATAGTAATAATAATAATAATAATAATAATAGTAATACTAATTATGATAATAATAATTAATAATAACATTCTCTTACATAACAAAAATAAAAATAAATAATAATAATTGTAATAATAGTAACAATAATAATCAATAGCAATACTATCACTAATAATAATAAATTAAATAATTATAAAAATAATTTAAATATAATAATTATATATAATAGCGGCGGCTGTTCCCTTGCAAACTATTAGAATCTCACCTCAGGATTATGCTGGTTTCTGTTTTTGTGCTTTATCCAAAAATCTCAGGCTCCAATTAATTCAGTTAATTAATTAATTAATGCACTTTGACTAACTAATATTCTTGAAATACGATAAAACTTCACGCGTCACTTGTCGGCATTTTGTGCAATGTTTTTTTTTTGAATACCATTTACCGTTGTATTTGTGCAAACCGGAAGTGAAATTATTGTCCAAAATGGCGACGGAGAACAAGCTTGGCTTGGCGCTGGCCGCAAGGTGAGGGGGCGGGCTGGGCTTGCGGCGACGCGAAACGCAAATTGTGTTTGTTTAGTTTTGTGGCAAGTTGTTGTTGCTGTTGTTGTTGTTGTTGTTGTTGCAGCGGATATGCAAGGAAATTTGTCAGTCAGAAGGAGGCGTGGCACAGAACACCGACGGTGGCCGCAACGCGTCCCTTTGGCATTGTCGGCGGGCCACTTTCTCGCCGCGAGTTTCGCCAAAAAGTAAAATTTCAATAATTTCCGCACAACAATTTATGCAACAGACACACACACGTGTGCGCAAAAGAGGCGCTGCCACGCCTACTGCCAGTTGGCAAGCAACAAGCGCATTTGTCCAAGTTTTGTTTTTGTTTGTATTTTTACTATTTACTTTTTTTTATATTTATTTTGTTTTGTTTTGTCCCCCTTCCCCTTTTTGTCAGTTGGTCAGGCGGCTTCCTGTGTGTGTGTGTGTGTGTGTCGAACGTGTGTGTGGACCGACGTATATTCGACCGCAAAGTGCCGTTATTATGCTGCTCCGCTCGACGTGTCGTAACGGTAACGCGCACTCCAAGTTAATGTGTATGTCCCGCTGGCCATACACAAAAAGCCTCGCCTGGCCTGGCCTGGCACAATGAGGCACAAATCATCTCGTGCGCGCGCTCTCAAGATGGCGCCGGCACACACACACACACACACACACACACTCCTCCCACCTTTTTGGGAGCCGCAATCAGCAGGGCACATCAAAAGGATGCCCAAGCAGCAGCAGCAGCGGCAGCACCCTTCCTTTGCGGTGGTTGATGCGCACGCGCGCTCCCTTTCGCCCGCTTTGTTTATCTGCGCTTAGCCAAAAAGTGGGCGGAGCCACATCTGAAACTGCAGTCGACGTTGTGCACACTGGCTGCTGCTGCTGCTGCGCTGCGACTGCTGCGACTGCGACTGCGACTGGGCAGCACTGGCTGCGGCGCTGGCATCATTAGTCCAAGCAAAGACCCCATTTCGGGCGGAAGTGCGTATGAGCAATATTTTAACAATGGCGTTTAAAACAGTTAAAGAGCCAGCACTAACACACACACACACTCGCACACACACTCGCACACACACACACTCAGGCACTCACTTATCTGTGTGCGGGCCATTAGGCGCTTAGTTTGTTGGGGTTCAGCTCGCATCATTTGCGGCTTCGTTTTCGTTGCCTACTTTAAGGCGCAGCTGGGAAACTGCAGCGGGAATTGGCCAAGAAGACGCCGCAGATAAGCGCACACATAATCGCATTTTAATTTTTGTAATTAACATGAGTGTGCATGTGTGTGTGTGTGCCTTTATTTATGTTAACTAAAATTCTCATAGGCAAAAAGTTGTTATATAAGTATTCATTGCGGAACTATATATTTCTTAATTATTCTTAAGTTTAAAGAAACACTTTGATTAAATTGAGCTTCTCATGTTCTCACAATCATCACAAGTTCTTGAACCACTTGTTCATGCTCTGGTTCGGTTCATGGTTCGCACAAATGCCGCTTCGTTAGGTTCGGTTCGTGAACCTGGTTCACAACTCTTCCTCTTTTCCTTTCACTTTTGCTGCACATTTATGAAATGATTGAGTTTTACATCTTCTGAGCAATAAAAGCGTAAATTACCCGGCGTCGTTCGGCTCAAATGCAACGAAATTGTTTCTGTAACTTGCGGCAACTGTTGCCATGTAAAAGAATGATCCAGCTTCGCGTTTTTCTATCTTCGAACCGGCGACCTCTCGCTTGCTGGTCTGACGCACAGACGCACCTAAGCCATGTAGCCTTATGACGTCTCGTTCATTGTTGTTTATGTTTTTCGTACATTCTATTCTATATTTGAGCCAGCGACCTCTCGCTTGCTGGTCCGACGCACAAACACCACAGACATCGCGTAGCCTTATGACGTCTCGTTCATTGTTGTTTATGTTTTTCGTACATTCTATCTATTCTATATTCAAACCAGCGACCTCTCGCTTGCTGGTCCGACGCACAAACACCACAGACATCACGTAGCCTTATGACGTCTCGTTTGTGCTTGTTTATGTTTTTCGTACATTCTGACTATTCTATCTTCGAACCGGTGACCTCTCGCCTGCTAGTCTGACGCACAGACGCACCTAAGCCATGTAGCCTTATGACGTCTCGTTCGTTGTTGTTTATGTTTTTCGTACATCGCCCTTTTTACTCCAATTGGAGGTCACATTTTCTCAACAACAACAAATACAAATTTGAATTCCGGAACCGCAAAAAAACGGATAAATTTGTATGAATATTATCAATCGTTCAGTATTTATGAGCTCATTTTTTAACTAGAAATCAGATTAATGTAGAATAGAACTTAACCGGTCTCCGATTGTTACTATGATTATGACATAGTAAAACGTTATTTGTATTTATTATTTTTGTTCATATTCTGGCGAAAAAAAAAAACGTGTTTTTGGTGTGATTTTTTTCCGTTACTTTAAATTCAATGTTTGACGTACTCTGAACTGACATAAATATTGAATATTAAATTTTTAATATTATTTAAATTTTCTCTAATGCAACACATTTTTGCATAAAGCTGTCCAGTTGGCGGATAGTTTGTAAATTTAACCTTTTGGTTAATATTAATACAAATATATTATTGAGTGCCATTTAAATTTCTCTTATCCATTAAAACGCTTTTAAGAAACAGCGTCAATGATATGGAAACTAGTTCTGATTGTCGTATATGTAAATAGACTGGTCAAAATCAGGTCTTCAGTATAAATAGGTGCCATTCTTCCAAGTGGTAGACGCATAACTCGATTGAAACTCATTGCGACAGCTTCGGTAGCGGCTGGTGCTATTCAATAAAAACACATTTTATTGACTAAAAAGAAGACAGCAAGCTTTAGGGAAATGCAGTTCCTTAACATTTGTGTGTTTCTTCTGAGCGCATTTATGCTTACTTCCTGGATAAATGCGACGCCTTACAATTATTACCAGACTGCCAATGTGGGACGCTTCGGGGGCAGCGCCTTTGGGTGAGCACAAAAAACTCTTGGAATTCGGTTAAAAGTCGATTTCTGATATGCCAATACGTAAAATATTCAAATGAAATACGCTCTGTTTTTAGTGAGGGCGTACTCAGGCCCGGCAGCGATACGGGCGAAGGCATTTTTTCCGAGCTAGACGCACCCAGCTATACGCCTCCCAATACCAATAGATACAATATATACAATTATCAGTAATAATCGTGAATTTCAAACAAACTACAATTAACCTCAACTACATATATAATCCAACCAGTGCTGCCAATGCAGCAGCTTTCTAGCTAAATTTGGCTGCTTTTAGTTGAAATTTCAAATTGATTTGTTCAATTTAGCTATTTTTAAGCGGCAGTTGGCAACACTGAATCCAACGGGATTGAAGAGCTTGCAGGAAACTAACTTAACTTAGCCTAGACACAAACCCAAATACAAATAAGAAGCTTTACGATGTGATGTATACATATACTCAAGTATAAAATATAAACTTTAATTTAATTAAAAACTCCTCTCTCTCTCTCTCTCTTCGACACGTGTTCATTTATCACATAATTTGTATATATATGGACAAATGATAAATATCAGTAGTTGAAGTCTGTTAAGTTTGCACTTGTTCTGTTTGCCAACATTAAAATAATTACATATTATAATAGGTTTCATGATGAATGCTTGGTGTATATGTGCAGTGCGCTTGGGAAACGTGTGTGTACGTATATAAAGAACGGGGGAAAGTATAAAAGTGTTTTTTTTACAGCTTTGTGCATAAATGCCGCAAGTTTGGCGCCCATGAAGAAGGCCCTATTAGTAACTAAATGCGGCTCTTGGTGGTGGTCTTCACTTCGAACAGTTTGCGCACGAAGAATACCTAGAAATGAAAAGGAATTGTTTAAATTATAATAAACAAATTAAAAATGTTAATCAGTGTTGCCAAATGGTAAAAATAGCTAAACTAGCTTATATACAGGGTTGTCATTGAGATAGCAAAAAATAGCTAAATCCTTTTAAAATGTAACTGAAAATATCTAAATTGGCAGCACTGGCGTAATTGAGAAAACTTTTCACCTGTATAGAGCACGTAATCAGAATGACCACAATCTGGCTAATGGAGAATGTTTGTATATAGGAATTGTTGTCCAGCAGCAGGGCATAATCGCGTGATTCACGATGCCTGCTGTGCGCCTGATAGCCCAGCATATCATTAATGTTGCGCTCGACGGTGCCAATTGTGGTCGTAAAGTTTTGCATATTCAGCTGCAACTCTTCGATCTCCTTGGCATACTTGTCCCAGGCATCATACTTGACCACCGTGATGTAGATGTTGACCAGCTTGCCCGCAAAGCGCGAGAACTGATTGTCAATGCACACCGAATAGTAGCCGCCCGGTGAGACTTGGTCTGTATAATCAGCCGTGGCCTGCCACTGATAAGGTTTCACGATTTCGCCAGCCGGATTGCGTACGGCAAAACCAGCCATGCCGTCTCCGCCGCGCACCACCTGTTAAAGTTAAGACATGAAGAAAATGCGTGGGCATTCATTTCTCAAACTTACGCTGAATGAGACGTAGAAGGTGGCACCCGCCTGCACATACTGATGATAGCAGTCCTCCTTGCCGGCATCTATGTGTACCTGTATTTAAAAAATTATTTAGACCACATATTTATTGTTGTTTACCCCATCCACTTTCTAATTTCAATTATTACCTTATAATCCATGGCGACTGCGGGCAAATTTTCGTACCATGGTTGTTGTGCTTCTTGTGCGCTGATTGTTTTAATGAGCAGGCAAAAGGATGTTAGTCCAATGGTCACTAATAAATTAAATCTCAACCGCTGCCACGTCAAGCCCATTTTGATTTTATAAACAAAAAGAGTTGCATCGAATCGTTCGGAATTAGTTCGTTCGAACGTTCGACTTAGCTCAAAGAACGAACTAATTAGTAGATTAGTGTTAAACTAGTTCACTTAACACATGCCTAAGAACATGCTGCTAACTTTAACTGTTAAGCGAAGCGGTAGCTACTCAACAGTATTTGTGTACGTGTTTATGAGCGTTTAATAAATCGAAATTAGCCGTATATTGTGTTTTTAAAGGCTCTGTAGTTGTAGGTCTTAACATTGGCAGCAGCTGTTATTTGGAGCGAGCACTGCCCAACAACTGTTAACTGATTCACAACTCACATTAAGCAACGGATAACAGAGCTCAGCTGATTTTAGCATATGCAACAAGTGGATCAGTAAGCTATCGATAAGAGGCATTTCAGGTGCATATCCATAAAAAATTAATTAAGCATTTACAAGATCGAAGCACCTCTAGTTGTGCCTGAAATGTATTTTCACAGGTTTTGTTCTTGTAGGTTTTTACATTTGCCGCAACTGTGGTGTGGAGCATACACTGCTCCACAACTGCTAACAGACTCATTAAGCCACTGATAACATAGCTCAGCTGATTCCCAATATTAATCGATGATTAGCATGCGCAACAAGTACTGCTGTAAACTATCGAAAGCATTTAAATACACTATCGATAAGACGCAGTAAAATCGCGCCATTTCAAGTGCAAGTATCTAAAATAACTGTTAATATACACAAAAGAAATAATAGAATAGTTGTATATCAACTAAGTTTCAGCTGCATGCATGTAAGTGCTACTTAAATTAAACTGATATGCCTTGAATTGAGCTTGCGGTAGGGAACACTCACTCAACACATTGATAAGATATTTTGTATCAACATTGTGCATACATATGTATTTACGTACAAACATATGTTCTTTATGAAGTGTTTGCGGTTTCGCAGTGTGCAGTACTTAAGTGACTGTCTTGTGTGTGTTTAACTCATTACAAAGTCAGGTCGACATGGTGCACGTCAAGGAAGATGTCTTCGCCGAGGCTGCAGTGAATCCATTGACCAAGGAAACGGGAACAATTCGACGCTTTACGCTGAGCAACGATGAGCAGATGTCGGTGCAGATTCTAACGCTGGGCGCCACGATCAGCAGCATTAAGGTGCCGGATGCCCAAGGTCAGGTGGAGGACGTGACGCTCGGATTTGATGATTTGGCGGGCTATGAAAGCGAACAGAATCCTTATATGGGTGCCACCGTGGGCCGCGTCTGCAATCGCATAGCCAATGGAAGATTCGTACTGGACGGCAAGACAATTGAGGTCACCCGCAACCGGGGTCAATTGCAGCTGCACGGCGGCTTCATAGGCTTCAACAAGGCGCACTGGCAAGTGCTGGAGGTGCTGCCCAACGGCGTCAGCCTGACGCACACCAATCCCGATGGCCACGAGGGCTATCCCGGCGAGGTGACCGCCACAGTGCGCTTCACGCTCACCGAGGACAACTGCCTGCATGTGTCCATGGATGCGGTGACGACCAAAGCGACGCCCGTGAATCTCACCAATCATTCCTACTTCAATCTGGCCGGGCACAAAGCTGGCCAAGCCGGACTCTACGAGCATACGATTGCCATCAATGCCTATGGCATTACCGAAACGGACGCGGATTCCATACCCACGGGCAAAATTCTGCAAGTGGATGGCGGCAAATTTGATTTACGCATTGCCAGCAACCTGGGCGAACGCCTCCGGCAGCTGGAGCCGGCGCGTGGCTATGATGACAACTTTTGCGTGAAGTTTACGCCGCCCGAGGGCATTACGAACGTGGCGAGAGTTACGCATCCGCCGAGCGGTCGCTGGCTGGAGATTGCCAGCAATCAGCCGGGCGTACAGTTCTATACGTCCAACTTTTTGCCCAACCAGGCGACGGGGGAGAGTCCGCTGGCGGGCAAAGCGGGCGCAGCCTATGCCAAGCATGGCGCCTTCTGTCTGGAGACGCAAAAGTTTCCCGATTCGGTGAATCATGAGAATTTCCCCTCGACCATACTGCGTCCCGGCGAGAAGTATCATCACGAAGTAATCTACAAGTTTGGCAAGCAGCATTAACAAATTGCATATAATACTATATAGTATGTATACAGTGAAAACTCGCTTGAACGGGCGACCACTTAAAAGTTAAAGATATTATTATATCATAGGAAATCCCAGACTCATTTATAATTTTCCAAATTTTTAAATATTTCTATGATAATGCAACCCTTATGCCCATTTTTGATTGGTAGAAAAAAGGGTGCAAATTTATTTATTTAGAAGACATTTCCGACTCCATAAAGTATTTATTTTTCGACAGCCCAGTCGATCTTCCCAGTTCCGTCCGTTCCGTCCGCACACTCGGTCTGAGAACCTATAACTTTCCTGATCTCCATATTATGGTTATAGATCGATAAAAATCTATATGGAAATTCTGTTTTTGAAGCAAATCTCGCAGCTTACAAGAGATAAAGGCGTCAATTTGGAATGCCGACTCTCGTATAGTACATAGAGATCCGGAATAAATCCCTTTTTAACTACTACGTAAGACCTGAAACACCGAAGTAATTCCCAGTCAGGCATTCCCGACTATAGCACTCTTGTCTAAAGGTCAGTTTTGGTTTATTTTTTTCATCCGATCGAAATCGAGGTGCGTCAGTAGAGCTTTCACTGTATATATATTATATATTTATATACAAAATATATTCATTTAAAACCAAAGAGAATGTCATGTATGCATATAATCCCCTGTAGCGAAAGCTCAAACACTTTTTTACTAATAAACTGATAGCAAGCAGAAAAGTTGTTCATTATGTAAAACTGTGATAAGGTGAAGTGCACGATCTGGGGCCATAAACTGGAGCTATTATCCAAGGCTATATATAAGGCGGATGTTAAGTCGACTCCATAGTTAAGCAAACAAATGAGACAGCCTTTCTACACACTCTACCTGCTGCTGCTGCTGCTTCTGCTGTGCCCGTGCCTTATCCACAGCCAGGGCCATTTGCGGATTATCAATGGTTCGGCTGCGAGGCCCAAGCAACTGCCCTACCAGGTTGCGCTGCATGTCTACTTCAGCAACTCCGGGGATGAGCCCAGTTTGTGTGGCGGCACGATTCTAACGAAGCGTTGGATACTATCCGCAGCGCATTGCCTCCAGGAGCCGGACACAAATTTGTGAGTATTAAGACCAACAACAAGTCAAGTCGAGATTTAATTTATAAACACTTTCCAATTTGCAGGCTCAAAGTGATTGTCACCGCGGGCGCCCTGAACAAGGCAAAGAAAAACGAGCCCGGCCACATGGAGCTGTTGGTCAGAAAGAAGGACACAATTGTGCATCCCCTGTACGATCGACACACGGTGGCCAATGATATTGCACTCATTCGTCTGCCCAAGGATCTGAAACTAGGCGCCTATGCGCAGCCCGCCAAGCTGCCCAAGGGCAAGAACAGATTCAACCTGAACGGTCGCTCGGCCATTAGCTCCGGCTGGGGCCTGACGGCCAAGCAGCGACCCACCGACATATTGCAATATTTGAATGTAAAAATCATCCCAAATAAGCTGTGCGAGCGTCTGTGGAACAAACAGCTGAATGGCGAACGCAAGCTCATATTGGACTCTTTTTTGTGCATCGATTCCAAGGGCGGACTGCCCTGTCGCGGCGACTCTGGAGGCCCTCTGGTGCTGGACGATGGCACCCAAACTGTCGTTGGCGTCGTCTCACACGGTTACGATGAGAAGTGCCAGCTCCGATTGCCGGATATATTTACACGCGTCTCCTCGTTCATCGATTGGATTGAGAAGCACACGGGTCGCCTGAGCAAGGCATAGCTTTAACTAGATTAAAATTGTCCACTTATTGGAGTTGCAACTTTTGACCTCCTCGTTATCCCTAGTTTATTGCTCAGCTACAGACGTGAATTTTTGGATAAGAGCTTTAGATTTCTGCTTGTTTGGATGCATTCAATTGGGGAATTTTGGCTCTATGCAGTGCATAATCTAATGCGATATCAGCAAATTTTATTTATATAAAGCAAGCTGTATATTGATTTAAGATCTAACCGGTTCGAAGTCGGAACTACAGCATTTTTTACTACAACTTTCAAACGAACCCGCTTAAAAAGCATTCGAATTGTATTATGTATTTTGCAAATAGTATTTTTATAACTTAGTAGAGGGTATTTATGTTTTGTTATGGAATCTGCAATGCATAGAAGGCAACTTTTCTGGCCCTATAAAATATAAATGTTCTTAATTAGTATTATGTCAATGTAGCCATCGACATAACCCTTTGCATAGTTCCTTATTTCTGTTGCAAGCAGGACATATTTCAAACATTGCCCGCCTGCCATTAGTCAAAAATTATGTTATACAATAACATTTTAAATTTTCGAATATATCTTGACCAAAGTTGACATTTGTGAACTCTAGAAAGCTTCCTACATATAAGGAAAGTCCTATCAAGTCAGAATTGTTTGAGAAATAAGTTTTTCTATGAAAGGATTGTCTGATTTTTGAGATATCTTCACCAAAGCCAGCAATTAGGAACTTTACAACTTCCCCCACATAGCTGATAACCTGAAAGAGTATTTAATTCGAGGTGTTTCATTTTGAACTGGAAAGACCTTGGCGAGCCCTGATTTCATTACTTGGAGAAAACCAAGTTAAGGAATGGGAGATTGAGGAATAAGACATTGGTTTAATTGTGCCTCACCCTGCTCAACCCAAACCCATCCAATCTTGGTCTAAATAAATATTTAACACAAACTGATTTTCTTTTCAAACATGTGCTTTATTCTTATTTCTCATACAAACTCCATACACGCCCCTCGTTCCCATACTTTCATATGTTTTTGTTGTCATTTTGTTAATGTTTTGTTTTGTTTTTTGTGGCTTTGCTAAATTTGTTGTTATCGTTTGTTTTGTTGTTAATGGGTTGATAGTGTGTGTGTGTGCGTGTGTGTGTTTTAAACAATTCGCTTATGATTATGTTTGAATGTACTCTTTGTGGGATTTGTTTGTATCGCTTACGTGTGGCTAATGTTGCTGATTAATCATGAATTAATTTGCATATTATTTTGTGTTTGTGTTGTTATTTTTTTTCTTTTACTTTGCTTTTTTGCAGTTATGTAAATGCAATTTTCAAATGTACAAAATCTAATGATAATGAAAATAATGATAACGCGCTAGCAATAATATTATCATTTGGTTCATCAAGAGCATTTTCTTTTTTTAATCATATTTTCATTTTTTCTTATTTTTCTTTTTTTTTAGAATTACATATGTTTGTATGTACACAAGTTTGAAACAAATTTGTTAAAAAGTCTATACAATTTGTTTGTTGCTAACAAAGAAGTTAAGAGTATTTAAGAACCTTGGAAAATAATTGCGTTTCGTATTGTTTATAAGACAGCTTGAGACTTGAGAAATTGTACATATTTTTGTTTGGTTTTTCGTTTTATTTCTCGATTTTTTTATACACAAAATTTTTTATGGGTTTTTTCTTTAAGTAAACTATAAAATTGAAAGTAATTTGAAATGTTTTTTTGCGGTGTTTATTTACTTTTGTTTTTGTGGGTCTGTCAAACATGCGGGCCGGTTCTAGACTTCGCTGTGATACCTTTTCGTTTCGGTATTCGGAGTGAGTCCGAATTGGTTTTGAAACTTTTCATTTTCACTCGAACGGTCGTTTTCAGCTCGTTAGGTTTCTTTTGGCCTGTAATTTTTGGTTGAGAATTTTACAATAAGCTTTATCCAAGTAAGAACAAGAATTTATATCTGTAAATACTGCAAATAGGTTACTTAACACTCCGAAATTTGGAAACGACGCGTTTTCATTTCGATTCCGAAAAATTTCGTCCGCTTCGAAATCTATAACAGGCCCGTTAGGTATCTTTCTATGCGTTTAACTAGTTTTATATATTGTATATGTTTGCCTATGAATCCATTCCATTTACTATATGTTATATGTTATGCTCGAGCATTCTTTCGATATATTTGAAGAAAACCACCAAATTTTCGTATTTACTTTGTGGAACACAGCGATATGATAATGGCAATTCGTATATAGGGATTTGTTCATGTGAATGTGAATGCCGAAACATGATATTGTTTTTATTTTTATTTATTTTGTTGCTCAAGTATAGATTTTTTTGTTGTTGTTTTTGTTTTGAATTCGTATAAAATATTTTGCTGGGATTGTTTTAAATTTAAATTTGGTTTAACATACGCAAAATATATTTTGTATATATTTATTTTAATTTACTTTTCGTTCGTTAGCTTAACTATCCTTTGTATATACACACATATACACACATATACACACATATACACACATATATATATATATATAGATGTATATATGTATGAGTAATTATTATTTTTGCTAAATTTTTTGTTTTCGTTCTTTTTTGCGTTTTGAAACAGTAACTTTCAGTCATCTTGTAATCATAATAATACCTATATGCAATATTACATACGTACAATATATATTTATTATAATTATTATTCGTTTGTTGTTTTTGTTGTTGTTGCTGTTGTTGTTGTTGTTGTTTATGTTAATTTGTTGTAAGCGTCTCGTGTACATGCATGAAAATGCCGTAAAAAAAAAACGCATTTCTTATATAGTGTGTCGTGTTTATAGATTTTAATTTAAGTTTCGTTTTTATTTTTTATTTATTTATATTCTCCTCTAACTGTTGTATAAAAGCTAAACGTTTATCGCTGCGTATGAAAATGTTTTGTTTTTTTTTGTTTTTATTTATTTTTATTTTACCTGCTCTCTAATCTTAATTGTTGTTTTGCTTAAAAATTGTTTTCAAATTTTTAAAAATTTGCTGTTCAACTAAATTTGATTCATTTTCTTCTTCTCTTTGGCAGTTATCGTTTTGTTAGGTTTCATTAATTTTGCTGCTTTATGTTTAATTGTTATCAAGATTTGTTTTTTCTTTCGTGTTGTGTATAACTTTTATGTTCAATATTATTATTATTATTGTTGTTATTATTATTATGTATATGCTAAGCAACTAACTTTGGACCTTTCCATTGCGCGACGCACTATATAAGAAAACTAGCTACTTGATTATTATTATTATATATTTCGCGTATAATTTATATATATATATATAGATGTATTTATATTTATGTAAATATTATCTTGTCTGTATGTTATAAAAATTTAATATGCGATTCCGAACAAGGCTGCAAACAAGTTTCTGAACCGAACCGATTCGAACTCGGAATTCCAATTTTTTTTGTAAATATGAACCGAAACCTAAATGGAACTAGTTGCCTAAAGAACAACCGAATCGAAACCCGAAATGAACCACAATAAGAAACTTTTAAGGAAGTCTAAGTACAAAGCATAAAGAACTTGGGATTTAACGGACCATATTTTGGTATAGATAAATAATTAGAATATCTTTATTAGGATTTTCAAAATATATGATAAAGTGAAGGGAAGGCAAACCAGGCTCACGAGCCGAGCCTCAAGGCAGGAAGCTGGTTCGAACCGGCGACCTTTCTTTTTGTGTTAGTTTGCATAGAAAAGAATAACTTTATTGAGATTTTCAAAACATATGATAAAGTGAAGTTGAAGTAAAATAAAGCCTAGGTTTTTCGGTTGTAGAAAATCAGGTTCACGAGCCGAGCCTCAAGGCAGGAAGCTAGTTCGAACCGGCAACCTTTCTATTTGTGGTAGTTTGCAGCCCTGATTTCGACAAAAGCGGCAAACACACTATCATTTTATTTCAGATGCCCAGCCTTAATTGGCCACCGGTTGCCAGTTTCAGCTAACGTTGCTGCTCGTTGCCAGCGAAAAAGTATTGTACAGATAATGCAACAACGAAAACTGTCTGTCCGGGCAGTAGAGGGGCAACAGCCTCGTGTAGAAAATTACGACTAGAACTAAGACTACGGCCAAAAAAAGTCATCAGTCGCACTCGGGTCCCTCCGAGAAATGGCCGCGCACATCGAGCGCCGATGCCAGCTGGAAAATGATGTGCGACAGCGAGGGATGTTCGAGCAGTTCGTTAGCCGGCAGCTGGGGCTCACAGCGCGGTCGCATGTGGCGTCCACGGAAACCGCGATGCAAACGCAGCACCACATCACAGAAGACGAAACGTAGAATGAGTGTGCGCAGAAAATCGTCGCCAAAGAACTGAACATAGGAGGAGTCTGCAAAGCAACAAGATAAACCCCATTAGAGTGTGCGCTTGCAGTATGCCAAGCGAGACCTCTTACCGATAAAGCCTATGCCCTGTTCGATCTCATCGATGCGACAACGCGTGACCAGGCGCGACGCTTCGGTTATGAAGCGATCCACATAGGTCTGGCAGCGTTCCCAGTGATGGATGGGCACATCTCCCACATTGCATATGTAGCAGAGCGCCGTGAGCGGGGAGTGCAGGAACAACGTGAACAGCGACCCATGTTGCTGTACATCAGCTGCAAGATAAATAGAGAGAGAAAGGGAGAGTATAAAGTGAGTAGAGCTATCTCTTTTTATGGTATATGCACGGTCAAAGTATTTATCGGTTCCGTCAGTTCGCGTAGGTAAATAAATATGAAAATTGAAAATTTATTTCAAATTTGAACCGGCGACCTCTCATTTGCTGGCTCGACGTTCAAGGCAAAACAAACATAATAGCCTTGTAAATAAAAACAAATTAGGTAAACAAATGTGAAGTTGAAAATTACTGTCAAATTTGAACTGGCCACCTCTCATTTGCTGGCTCGACGTTCAAGGCAAAACAAACATAATAGCCTTGTAAATAAAAACAAATTAGGTAAACAAATGTGAAGTTGAAAATTACTGTCAAATTTGAACTGGCCACCTCTCATTTGCTGGCTCGACGTTCAAGGCAAAACAAACATAATAGCCTTGTAAATAAAAACAAATTAGGTAAACAAATATGAAAATTGAAAACTACTGTCAAATTTGAACCGGCGACCTCTCATTTGCTGGTCCGACGCTCAGACACCTAAATCACGCAAGCACATACAAACTTTCCCACACTTGTAGGTCGAATCTTTCAAAAGCCCAACTTACTCACTTTCGAGCTGAAAGGAAACTCCTTTGATTCGGGCTGAGCATTGTACATCAATCAGTCAGTCAGTCAGTCAGTCAATCAGTCAGCAAATTCATAGATATATAGCAATGCTCACCTTGAAAAGCGGGCGGCACATCTTGCGGCGACATTAGAACGACCAGCGGCTGGCCAAAGTAGCGGGGTATATGCTGAAAGACAAACGAATTATCCGAATCGATGATGACGAACATGGGCCGGCGCGTAAAGGGATATAGATCGCCCGGATATAGGCAGTGGCCCTCCTTGTAGGACTTGCCGCGACAGGATAGGCCGCCGCCATCGACGCTGTCGCGCTTCACACTGGTGCCCACGCCGCCCAGCTCGTAGCCATCTGTGGAGGCAGGAGCAGAAGATTAGACAGGATTACTGGCAACCTGGAGTTGCTACTCACAGTCCTCGGGATGCTTTGTGGTGGAGAAACAGCCGTCCGCTGACATGTACAGGAGTAGAGCACCACCCAAAGGCAGCTCCTTAAAGCCGCTGGCCAGAAAGACCAGCAGCTGGCTAATCGAAGGCTTGTACATTAGATATTTGTGTGGATTGTCTCGAAAATTACGGCCATTCTCCAAATAGCCCTTGGAGCCGGGCAATACGTATGGTGGTATGCGACCGGCCGCCGGACTCGCATCGTGCCCGTGCAGGCCATGGGACATGCTCAGCGGATTCGTTGCCGCTTCCGTCGGTTCACGTTCCAGCGTCTGCAGCATTCTGCAGCCAAATGAATTAATATTTTTTTAACAGACATTCTCTAGAGTTAATTTGTGAGAATATTCACCTAAACATGTCCATCGTCAGCTCGGAGAACTTGGCCTGCTCGCATGCCGATCCAACGATCAGGATCTCCTGCAAACTGAGCGTCATGTGCGGCGATCTCTCGCACGGCGGCGTCGTCAGCGGCGATAACCTAGAACCGGAACCACTGCACATCAGTCGTTGTAGTTGTGCTGGTCCACAAACGAATTGCGGTGGCCCGTGCTTTCACAGAAGAATTGAGAATGTGGCGCACTAATGAGGTGATATATATAGGGCTGGGAAAATGGGGTTCGTGTGTGTGTTTGTCTGTGTGTGTGTGTGTGTATGAAAGGGTATTTATAAGTGGGGAGAACATAAGAAATCATAAAACAAGGGGTGTCTGTGTGTGTTACCACTGAGAAAACAAATTATCCGATAGGATATGAATCTTTGGAATATAGTTTGGAAAATACTGCGTACGAAAGTTAGGGTTAGAATCCCCAGAAGACGGAAGACAGTACTTAACAAGAAAGATTTTAATACGACTCTATCATCATATTAAATGAAGATCTTAGGAAGAGAGAGACGTTTAAGATATCTAGATTGAGTTATACACAACCTTTTTCCCAGATCTTCATTTAATGTGATCGTAATTAATCATTGATTGTTTATCTTCTGTCTTTTGTCTCCTCTGGGTTCGAACCCTTAACTTCTCTTAAGTATTCAATACTAAGGAAAACTTAAAATGGAATTTATTTTAAATATGAAACTGTCTTCGATAATATATTTAAAAGTGATTTAAATGACCTTCATAAAATATATGTCAAAGACATAAAAACTCCATCCATAAAAACTTTTCTCTACAATAATATTAAGATCACTTTAGACTGAACTATTTTACGAAATAAAGCTTTAGGTGTGAAAGTTAAGAGTATGATTTATGGTAAAAGATCTAAAGATCTATTAAAAACATTCACTGATATTTTTTAAACCTTAAATTAAATGTGAAGGATTTTGTAACGAATCATTTGAATGCAACGGAAGCTTAAATTTCCAGAAAAGATTTCAATGTTATTCGAAAGATCATAACATTTAATTGAGATTTTAGATAAGATTTATATGATTCGAAAGGGAATCTTTTAAATCATCGTGTCATGTTTCAAGGCTTTTATAAGGAATTATCCTTAATCCTTGTAGTTAAGTAGTTTAGCTCAGTAAACAGATAGGAGAATAGATTGATAATACGATCATCATAAGTGAAGATCTTGGAAAAATGATGAAGAGAGAACAAAATACTCTCAAGTACTCAAAAAAAAACAAGAGATACTCATTATTATCGATGCCAAGATTTCAAGTAGTAAAGTGAGAACAAAATACTCTCAGGTACTCAAAAAAAAACAAGAGATACTCATAATTATCGATGCCAAGATTTCAAGTAGTTCCATTTGTTTCTCAGTTGGTGTGTGTGTGTGTGTGTGTGTGTGGGTGTGTGGGTGTGTGTGGTGCATGAAGTTGGGGGGAAAATCAATGGAAAAGTGCGTGATGAATGAGAACAGTGAGTGTTTCTTTGGTGTTTTCAAGTCTTCTGTGATAAGCACAATAAATGAAATAATTGAAATAGCAACAGAACTGAAGCAAAACTCGTATACCTACGCAAAACATATAAAGAGCCAACCCATAGAGAGAACACATATCTAACCCCACGAGCTCTCCATAGACTCCTACTCCGCCGACGAAAGCACGGGCAAGGTGTATGCTGAATTATACATCGATTGCGCCAACGACTCACCTGTGCGATAATATGATGGGATTGGAATCGGCATGGAGTACTGCCACCGCCGCCTCGGCCTTAATGAAGCCCTTGATCTCCCCCAGCACCATCGTCCATTCCAAATGATCTTCCGGCTCGTAACTGCAAATGGGCAAAAGATTAAATGTGATCAGCAAATGCAATTGTCAGCACGTTTTACGTGTTCGTGTACTCCTGTATTTGTTTCTCCAGCTCCGTGACCAGCTCCCGCACCAGCTTCATCTTCTTCAGCAGCAGACAGACGACTATGAAGCGTGCATAATACCGCAGCTTCTTCACCATCAAATCCGGCCGATCCTCCTTAGCAGCGCGCGAATAATACGCACGTCCCCGTATGGCCGCATAGAACTGATACGCCTCGTTCAGGTAGTTCGTTTCGCTGGTTCTTAAACTAATCCAAATCGATAAACAACAAAAATTTAGTACAATGCTCAAATAGTTGTTCTATGATATAGTTATTCACATTAGTCAAGGTTTAAAGCCTATAATAAGTGAGGCTATCTTTAAAAACTATAAAGTTTTTCACATCAGATCTAAATTTTTAACGAATCCTTCTTAAAAAAACTATAGAGTTTTTTATATTAGATCTAAATTTTTAACAGATCTTTCGTATAAAATCTATTTTATATTATTATAGATTTTAAATGCTTAAAAATACTCTAACTAGCCTGTAAATGGAACAATTTGTTCATACGAGAACTAAATGTACGATCTAAAAAAAAACAAGCTGTTCATACAAAAACTAAAAGTATGATCTAAATTTATAAAGATGAGTTCCTATGCCAGCTTTATGATATAGAAGATGGATGTTGAATTATGTTATGAGTTTATTTTTGTAGCATACAAATTCCTGCGACTATTCTGTTTATTTAAGCTAGATTTCAAACATAAAACTTGTTCATACAAGAACTAAATACATGATCTAAATTTATAACAGATTTTTCCTATGACAGCTATATGATATAGAATATCGATCTGGAAATATCTATTGTATTTATTTTAAAAGCATACAAGTTCTTGCTAGCTTGAAAAACCAATAAGATGTTCATACAAGAACTAAAACTATGATCTAAATCTATAAAGGATCGTTCCTTTAACAGCTATATAATATAGTAGATGGATGTTAAAGTATCTCTTCCACTTCATTTTAGTAGCATAACATTTGTTGTTACTGTAAAGATTGATTATAATGCTTTTTAATCAAAACGTGCTTTCAGACAAGATCTAAATTTATGATCTAACGTTTCTACGGAAACTTTATGATATAGTCCGATGCTTCTGTGATTTTGATCAAATATTGGAAGTGTACTTAAACTAGTATTTAGCGAATTTGATCAAGCTACTTTTGAAAACTCAAAAGTTGTTCGTACTGGTACTAAATTTTGGACATATCTTTGGTAGCTATATGGTGGAAGACTTGGTATGATACCTATATGGAATGAGAGACCGAGGTTATTTGGGCTTTGTCTAAATATTGCTAGCGTAAAAATACTTGTAATTGATTCGTTTGATCACTATAGCTAATATAATAAATATGTTGCTCATACAAGAACTAAATTTATGATCTAAATTTATAGAGTATGGTTTCTATGACAGCTATATGATATAGTTGATGGATGTTGAATTATTTTATTTGTTTATGTTATGAGCATACAAGTTCTTGTGACTGTTAAGTTTCAGAAACTTTTCTAGCTTTTAAATCAAATAAGTTGCTCATACGTGACGAACCCAATCTATGAAAACTATATCATATAGTAAACCGATTCGACTAATGCCTATATATGCTCTAACTGCAACAAAAAGACGCATCTATACCAAGTTTTAGGAGCACAGCTTTCTAGAAAGTCCAGTTCACATGGAACACTCAGGGAATTGGGCTGTCATTATATTTATAATACTCACTAATAGTGATAATAAAGCTGTCCGATTTTGCTGGCTATTTCGCCAATTTGCCAGCGTTTCAGTCCATATTTGGAGTCGAGGACCATGCGATGTTGCTGCTGAAATTTCCAGAGCTTTGTGTAGACATCGAAGGTGCGTCCAAAATAGGCTTGCCACTGCCGATGCCCATACTGCGGCAGATCTCTGTGTTAATTGCAACGAAATCAGCTTTATATATGTATATATATATCTGTAAATTGATTAATTTAGCATACCTGAGTCCATTGAAGAGCTGTTTGGATTTCTCTAGCAAATGGCAAAACTCCAAGACAAGCTTTCTATCCTGTTCCTCAGTGGACTCCATTTTCACCATGCCGTTCTCTTCCGCCCCAAAGTGTTATGTCTGCGAACCGGATGTGCTGCAAAAGAAGTTAAATATTTGATTTAAATGAATCTCTTAGCTGCGCCGCAGCACAACTCCGTGTCCGTTGCCATCAGTTGGCCAACTGAATCACTGCAATCCGAATTTATCTATCTATCCCCACATGTATCTATATCTATATCTTTCTATATGCGCATCTTGGTATATAATCGCAGCAAGCGCTGCCCACTTCAGATTCATTGAGCCGCTCATTGAGCCAGTCACATTGATTATAATGATGTTAAGAACAAGTAGAAGTGCTCCAATTGAGTCGTACCGACTACCAAATACCCTGTGCTCAGCTAAGGCAATCTATAGTCTATTCAAATATTTCCTATTCGGGTTTGAATCCCTAAATTGCACTGAACACAATTGAAATTTACTAACTATTATTTAAAATAGTTAAAAAATATAGCTGCAACTCTTGGCGCAGCTCCTCCTTTTCTTTCCTGAGTCTTTTAAAATACTTCATTTTTAAATAACTTGTGTATTAAAAGTCTGGTCAGCTTGAAATTTGCAGTCCCTCAACATGACAGCCAAATGTGTTTACATACCAAAAATCTGAGACTTGCTGGTCAAAATAGATATTCCTATTTGGGTATCTCCCCTTGACTCTTCTTAAAACCAAATGAACAACCAGTGTGTATATATATAACCCTAATAAAGTCTCTCTCTTACATGTGCTTCCACACAGCCAATATACCCGCTTTGCGCAATTCCCAATGAGCACAGGGCATAACAATGTTGATGATGTCGTTGTCAATAATCGTGAAATACAATAAATGCCAATGCGGCGTATGCTTAATGTGCATTTTGTTCATCGCCGCATTATTAAATATATAATTTTTATGACACATTTGTCAAGCGCGAAAAAATATACTTAACCATGCGCAAAACAATGCGAATTGTATCGCCGCGAATCGTAGCTATATTTCGATTCCATTCAAATCCGTCAAGCCAATTTGGATGATGCAACATTTCCAGGCTGGAGACAGCTGAATTCAAGTTTAATTAAAATACCAATTTGTCGCTAACAATTACTTTGGTTTTTAAGAGGGGGGGGGGGGGGGGGGTCTAGTTGAGTGTCCTATAAGAGGAACAAACGTGCAGATGGACAGAGAGGGAGGGAGGGGGAAAGGGGGGGAGGCAATCGATGCAGTGCATCAAAAGCTCAATTAATAACGCCCGAGCAGGTGACTAAACCAAATTGGAAACAAGTGAGAATGCCTCAGCCTGAAAATGATCGACTCACAGATACCCTGTCCCCTAGGCAGATCTTTATTATTAGCTGGAAACGCTTAACAATTTCTGGTTCCTATTATTCATGTATATAAAAACATGCTCAACATATTTCAACTTACATTTTTTTTTTGACAATTTGTGTTTCAAATAACTAAAAGTAAATAGAGTCTGGTCTAGTTTCCAAAAGACCTCCAAATGTGCTCAATAGTTTAGTAGCTAAAATATGAATTCGAAAAGAAAGTAAAACAGAATTGTTTTACTTTTGAAGATCGTTGATTTATTTGACTGCTGAAGTCTAAACAGCAAAGGAATTTGGATTTTATAATAGTAATAAAAAGTAATAAGGCATAAAGTCTATATGGTGAGGCTGTGGCTATTGGACAACTGAGAAAGTGTATTAGGCAGTCCAATATAAAGTCTTGCGATGAATTCCAAGGAAAATGTGTAAACATATTTGAAAGAAGACTAAAATGAAAAGCGTATACTGATATGAAGGCTATTCCATATTTCTCTAGGCCCAAGTCTTATAGCTTTGTAATTGGAAATTGGAATTTTGCTTTTTAAAAGTCTTTAAACATGAAACTTTCAAAAGCCACATTAAAGTGGAATGCCTCAGTTAAGATTGGGAAATTCCAGAAATAAAATCGAAGCACTCTAATTGTTGAGAAGGCTTCGTAATTATTATAGTTTTTATACAATAGGAAGGTTAGGTTGGGGAAACATAAGGACAGTCTAAGGTTAACTTGATATACAGGAACAGCTTATTTTCAGCTAGTTTTTATATTCTCTGAGATCTAGGAGGTTAACTCAACGATAAGGCTGCTTTAAAGGCTCGGGCAGGTCTTTCAAACATTTCAATTATTGAATGAATGGGCATTGAAAGAGGCCAAGGAAAATGTTTGCGGAAAACGAAGAAAAAATGATGATTAAATGCGGAGAGCGGAGGCTGCGTCCAGGAATCAGCCGAGCAAAAGGGTCGCTAGTGCAAATGGCGCCACGGCGACCACATTGATTTCGGTTGAGCCAAACTAGGTCGCTGGCACACAAAAACTTTCAATATGAGCTCATCAGCAGCAGCAGTCACAACTGAGATGAGCAGGACGAAGAGGAGCAGGAGGAGGTTGCTGTTGGGTAAATATGGCTTTTAGGAGGCTGGCAAAAGACATGCGTCACATGGAATTGTGTGAGAAGCGACGCCACTTCATATTTACGGCGCCCTAATCAAATTAAGAGTCCATTTAACAAGTGCAAATTACATAATATGAAAATTACGCATACGCAACGTGCGACGCGGCGAGATGAACGAAGCGGCGAGAGAAGCCTAAACAAAGCTGATAAACTAACAAGCTGACTCACTCTCGCCTCCCCCTCTCCCTCTCTCTCTCTCTCGCTCTCTCTCTTACTCTAACTGCTAGCTGTGACAACGTCCATAACTGGCTGCTGCTGCTGACTTCATTACGATTACCATCATCATTAACAGCGGGAGCAGGAGGAGCAGGAGGAGTAGCAGCAGGAGGAGTAGGAGCAGCAGCAGGACTCAAGCAGCAGCAGCAGCAGCATGTCAACATGTGGAAACCGGAAATGAAAAAACACAAATACTAAGCAAAGTCGTTGCCACTATGCCAATGCTTATTAACACACACACACACACACACACAGAGAATGCAGGCAGCTCAGGCACAGCCCACAAATCACAACAAGTTCGTTTTGCTCTTAGGTAGTTAGGGAAAACTATAATTCCATTCTAGAAAATTAAAATACGAGAAAAACCTTCAGCTTTTATAGTAAAACCTTGTACCTGGTTTTCTTAGTATTGGGAATGTTTTTAACTATTAACTAGGAAAATTGTAAATTCCAAAAATCGTACAGGAAATTGTAGTTCAACTCGGAAGTATTACTCTGCTTTATATCAAGTATTTATCTTTTACATTTTAATCAGAGATCACACCGGGCAAAAATGAGACGAAATTAATTTAACATAGTCTCGGCTGCCAGATTGTAGTCCACGGTTGATATTTAGTTTAATAATTTATATTAATTCAACTAATTTTTTAAAGCTCCTAAAGAAAATTTCGCTTCAATCCACCTAAATGAGGCGAAAAATGAGTGAAAACTGAGCTAAAATGTTAATAGTAAGACCTGTTCCGGGGAAAGACACGATTAACAGCTATCATATAATATAAGTGCACACTTAACGTATATAATACAGGCCATGCCTTAATTTCTATAAAAACCAAAGATTTATTGTCGCGAGCCAAAAGTGCAAATGGTCAAGGACATTTTTGTCGCCTGCCAGTTGACTGCATGTTGTCAACGTGGCAAAGGAGAAATACAAAAAAACTAGAAGTTGTGCCTCTCTGCTGCCTGTTTCAACTAGTTGTTGTTGCGTGTTGTTGTTGTTGCGTGTTGTTGTTGTTGTTGCTGTTGTTGTTGTTGCTGCAGGATGAGGACAACTGCTGCTGCTGCTGCTGGGAAAATCCCAATTCGAGTCAAACAAAGCGCGCTAAAAAGTATGCAACGCACTTTGGCGCTCATCGCTAGACGCTTTTTGACTAACTGCCAAGCGGCACACACGCACACGTATGCATGTGTGTGTGTCTGTGTGTGCGTGTGTTTTCAATGCCCGCCAGCACTCTGGCAAATATTACTCGCATGCTCTTTGCTTTTCGACAAAGCAGCGCATTTCTTCTTCTCTCTCTCTCTCTCTTTTTTTTATAATACTTATTTTCAGTTTTTCTTCCTCTTTTTTGTTTGTTGTCTCTGTGTGTGTGTGTGTGTGTGAGTGTGCGTGTAATCCTTCAAAGGCATTGTATGCCACACACATTTACACACTTAATGGCATTTTGACACTGATAATGATGTTGTCATGCTGCATCCGCAGCAAACATCAAGTTCAGAGGCCCCGCAGATCCCAGCTCAAAGCACAATCGAGCATAAATATGTATTTGTATATATCCAAGCTGGCAGTTGGCAGCTTAGGCTACAAATTATTAGACTGATGATGATGAGTACAGCAATTACAGTGTAAGCTCGACTGAACGGACAGCTGAGTACACAGAGGTCTTGTGCAAATGTATGCAACAGGCGGCAGAAGGCAGCTCCAACTCAAGTTGCACTAATATACATATATAATATATACATTTGATAGAGATGTAAAACTGCTTCGATTTAGCCAAGTCCGTTTGACTGAACATTAAAGCTGAAGAATTGAAATTTGTTATATAGTTAACCTTATATATAATATCTTCCATGTTCATGATATCGATAGTTTTTAGTTTTTTCAGCGTAACTCGAGGATTATACGAGCTGAATACTAAAAACTTGGTAGCTAGGTTTTCGTACAATATATACGGATTAAGAATATATTACTTTTTTATACATTCTTCATTACCCCAAAATTTTACAAAGTCCATTTGAAGAACACTTTTTTGGACTAAGTCATTAAGCATTTGCATTTGCACACTTTTTATATGCCATATTAATGGCCTACAAATTTCATATTGATCGGACTATAAGCACCGAAGTTATTCAAGAATACCTGAGACCTGATAACAATTTGAGTTGGCTTGTATTTACTTTTTGTTTAAATTCCAAAAATTCAACTATTATTTAAAATAACTTTATAAAAAAGAAAAATATTTCTTAAAGCAAGACTCTAATGTCCGTGACATGCATTAAAAATGCAAATTCTAATTTCAAAAAGTATCACTTTTCGAGCGACCACTGTACTAGCATACAGTTGTGTTCTACGTGTGGCTTCTTGTCTGCTGAATGACCGAAAAAACTTTCTGCTCGCATATCGTAGTTTGTTGTTGCTGTGATATCTGTTTGCCTCTGTGACTGGAGGCAGTTGAAATTTTTTGGGCATTTGGGCAAATCTGTATTTATCGAATTGATTAAATTACGTTGCCTGCAGCAACACAGAACGAAAGTTAACGCTATTCCCAAAAGCACAAACTCCAAAAAAATAACAACATAAATGAGGCAGTAAAATGTGCAAACAAGCGTTAGAAAATATTTTCTATACTAACAAATATAACTGCTATGCAATTGGGAAAAATTGTTTGCAATTTGGAGTTATGCGGAACACCCTTTGAGTATTAATTGACGTTGAGCGCCACAAAAGCTAAGACTGTTCCCAAAACCCATTCGCCTATGAAGACAAACTATACCAAGCAAGTTAAAAGTTAGACTAGCAAAACAAAAGATTTATTTTTGGTAATAATAAAGAGAGTAAATTTTTTTGCAATTTGGAGTTTTGCGGAATAATCCTAAATCTTTAGTTAAAGTTGAATGTCACGGCTGTGAAGGCATTTCCTAAAAACTCTTTCACCTATAAAAGCAACCTTAATCATGCACATTAAAGGAATGTTTCTCCTTAATAGGAAAGTAGACAAACTTTTCTTTTGCAATTGGGAGTTTTGCGGAACAACCCTTGGGCTTTAATTGACGTTGAGCGCCATTTGCAATTTAAAGAATTGCATTTATTCGAGGGGCTAAATAATGTAAACCTACCTTATCATTGTTGTACCTGCCTCTGCCTCTGCCTCCGTTTCTGCCGCTGCCGCTGCCGCCAACAACAACAACAACAACAAGCTTAGCAGCAGCCGCCAGCGCAGCCGTTGCCGTTGCCGTCGCCGCTGCCGTTTGTCACCGCGCCCGCTGGCGGAATGTCAACTGCTTTAACTGTTTGCTGGTGCCGCTGTGCTCCGTCTCCGTCTCCGTTGCCGTTGCCGTTGCCGTTGCCGCCGCCTTCGATTCCGCCGTGTTTGTTGTTGCTGATGCTGCCGCCGCCGCCGCTGCCGCCGCCGGTGTTGCCAGATCCAGTCAGCCGCCCACGCTCAGGCTCCCCGCTAGCAGCGCTCCAAAGCCACACCTAACATATTTTCCCTCAGCTCAGGCACGGAGACTACGCGTTTTCCATGGCACTTTCACTGCGTCCTTTTGTTGGCTTTGTAAATCCGTTTTTGCCGGTTAACGTTTCACGCACTATTCGCCTTTTTTGCTGATTTTCTCGCCTTCCTTTCCGTTCTTTTTTTTTTTTTGGCGGCGTTTGCACTTTGATCCTATTCTATTGTGTTTGCGTTTTCATGTTGGGTTTCTGTGAGAATTTCGTTTAATTTATGGAACACACGAGTTCTTGTGATTTGTGGAAACGCGTTGCGACCGTCGTGTATGGCTGCACAGTATTGAATTTTTTCGCATTTACATTTTTAACGAAGGGGGTTGGGGTTGGGGTTGGTATCGATTTTTTTGCCCAAAACTGACAGCTGCTAGTCCATACGCCAGCCGCAAGAGGGCGTTCATTTTGACAGCCATTTCGGGGGTTGAACCAGCAACAAAACAGCTGACCGTCTGTAGACTTACCGTTGCACATTTCAAAAGTAACTCTACAGAGTTGCCACCTGGTAAATTGATGGCATATACTATTGGTATAGGCTGGAGTTACGATCGGAGTGACATTATGCATTTAAAAAGTAACTCTACAGAGTTGCCACCTAGTTAATTATTGTCATATTGTCATATTCAATTCATGTGGAGTTACGATCGGATATCGGAGTGCCAGTAAAAAGTCTTTGAAGATTTGTAGTTTTTCGGTTGGACTTCTAAAAAGTAACTTTACAGAGTTGCCACCTGATAAGTTGTTGTTATATATTGTTGAAATTGTTAGGGGCTTTCATCAGATATCAGAGTGACAACAAAAAATATGCGCTAGGGTATATGAAAAATAACACTAGAGTTGCCATCTGGTTTATTATTATCATATATTATTAATATAATTAATATATATAATATATTTATATAGGATATCAATTTGACAATAAAAAATCTTTTAAAAATTTTTGTATTTACAGAGTTGCCATCTGGTAAATTGTTCTCATACTTAAATGTGGCTACGATCAGACGGATATCAGAGTGATAATAAAAATTAAAACAAAAATTTGCCGAGCATCCATTGGGTAAGTCTACAGCGTTGCCATCTTGTAAATAATTATCAAATATAACCGATATAGGTTAGGGATACAGAGTTGCCATCTAGGTTAAGATACGATCAGATGGATAGTAGAAAGTAAACAATGAAAATAATAACAATTAGATTTAAAAACCATGCCAACGAGTAAAAAGTTTAACTATTTTTCTGGAGTTATACTACATGAACACACATTGAATTTTATTGCATTATATATAATATATATATAAAGTACAATAACATTTACAAATTGCATTACATCAAAAGCGCCATTTGATCAATTATACATAGATATATATCTTTATATATATATATTGTTGACTAAAATTGTGTTTGTTGTTTTTTTGTTTTCTCAGTATCTGCCTTTTCGCACTATCACAATGATTGAATTACATTGTTCGACATCAGCTTTTCATAATAACTATAATAAATATTAGGTATACATATATATTAAAGGTATATCTACAGTATGTTAAAAACAATAGCTATCATGCATATATAAATCATATATGTATGTATTTATAATATGTATGTCTAGCTTTTAACTATAGATTCAAGCACTTGAGCCGCCCAGGTTCAAGAACCTGTCTTACCCGGACCTCTATTAAAATATACTACGCGTAGCTTTCAGTCTTTAAATAAATCCAAATATCCGGAAACTGTAATGCGTCTAATTGTAATACATATAAATAAGTTTTATATGTAACTCTCTAACTGTTCCTAACTTTTTTTCAAGTGCTAGTTAAAATTTAAAAATTTGGCTGCAACATTTGCTAAGTGTTTCGATGTACATGTTGTAGTGTAGAGAGCCACCAAATCAAATGCACTCAACGTTGCCAGATAGTTTTTCATTTAAGCTATGTGCAAATGTATTTGCTGTCGAGTTTCTCGCAGCTGTTACCTTTGAATGCATTCATTTTGGAAGCTCACTTGAAAGACGGTTTATGTGTAGTCGGCCTAATTGCTAGCCTGATGGCAATTATCGGCAGTGTTGCCAACTGCCGCTTCAAAAACAAGCTAGATATGATGTAAAAAATAGCCAAAATTAGCTGAATTAGCCTGCGGAGCAGAAGTAGGCAGTAAATAGGATTGGCAGAGTTGCCAGAAATAGCAATAACAGATTGAAAGCCTTTGTTAAGGGCCAAATATAGCTATAAAATAGCCAATTAGCTGCTTTTAGCGCTATTTAGCTATAAGCGGAATTGCCAGAGATACCAGAAAATAGATGAATAAGTTTAAAGTTTAACTATTTTTGTCTGAAGACATCTGAAAAGAGCTGTTTTAGCTCGAAAATAGCTGAATTGGCAACACTGCTGCTGAGCACAAATTGGCATAAAGCAGAGTTGCCAGCTATCCAGAAAAATATGTAAATCAGTTTGAATTTTAACTGTTTCCGGCTGAAGACATCTGAAACTAGCCGTATTTAGCCAGAAAATATCTGCATGAGCAGCACTGTTGCTGAGCATAAATTGGTAATAAGCATAGCTGCCAATTATTTTTGACTGAAGACATCTGAAAATAGCTGTATCTAGCTATAAAACAGCTGAGCACAATTTGGCAATAAACAGGGTTGCCAGATATGTTAAAAAATAGCTAAATCAGCTTAGAATTTCAACCGTTTCCGGCGAAAGAGCTCTGCCAAACCCCGAATTCGGCTAGAAAATGGCTAAATAAATGGCTGGCGGCCTACAAGCGTGTTGCCTCCGACACGGTGGCAACATCGCAGCCATTATTCGCCTGCAGCTGCTGCGGCTGCTGTTGCTGCTGCTGCTGTTGCGGGGGTTGTCCCGTGGAGATGCCCACGTCCGCGGTGGGCCTGGGCAGATGGGAATAGTAGCCCATTTGGCAGGAGTTCTGATGCGAGAGCTTCTGCGTCTGGCTGAGCTGATACTGGGCGGCCTTGAGGGCCTGCTGCTGCTGCGGCGTCAGGCAGTCGCAGGCGGCCAGCAGCTCCTCCGTGGACTTGGCCGTAATCGTGGTCGTCGTGGTGGTCGTTAGCTCGCCCACAAATTCGGTTGGCGGCGGCGCATAGTTCTCCACATCGCCATAGGTGGAATAACGGCCATAGGGATTGCGACGCGGCATCGAATGCCGCTGCTGGGCAATCTGCAGCTTGACCGGCGGCTTCATGGCCACCGCCGTGTCCAGATAGCCATAGCCAAAGCCCTGTCCAGCCAGCGCCTTGGTGGCCAGATTGTCCCACGACTTGGGCTTCTGCACATAGGCCATGCTATTGGGATAGATCTGGGACGGCTGCACCTGCGTGGCGGTCACATGGTAATGCGGATGATGATGATGATGCGCATGGACATGACCCTGGACGGGCTGTGCCTGCTCGTACGACTGTCGCGACTTGGTCGAATGCTGGCGCGATGCATGCTCCTGCGCCGCCTCGCTCTTGGGCTCCCAGAAGAGCGTATCCGTGCTGATGGAGGTCGTATAGGAGGCGGTATCGGCGGGCGCAAAATCGCTGGAGGTGCACGAATGCAGGCTGCAGTGGCTGGCCAGCCCGGAGGCGAGGTCAAAGTAGCGCGAGCGCACGCTGCCCGACTGCGAGGGCTGGTGATGGTAATGATGATGAGGATGCGCCTGTGCCGGCGGCTGCGACGGCGGCGTCTGCTCGTGCACATGCCGATGATGGTGATGATGATGATGATTCCCCTGCGTCGCCTTGACCACAGGCGAGGAGGAGGAGGCGGCGGCGGCGGCGGCATGCGTCTGCGACTTGTGCCGTCCCGCTGCCTGTTTATCCTTCGGCTCGGAGCGCTCCCGATCGCGATGCTTGTGCTTGTGCGTGTGCGTGTGCGTGTGCTCCTTGTGCTGGCGATGGCGACGCCGGGTCGGCACGCACTGCGTATCGCAGCAGGGACTGGCCAGATCGTAGGCATCCAGGCTGACATTGTCCCCATTGCTGTGCGACTTCTCCGCGGACTTCCAGCGAAAGTGACCGACACAGGGATTGCACGAGTGTCCGGCATGGCAATGCTTCGTCTTCTCAAGCTTGGCGGGCGGCTTGTGCTTCTCGCAGGTGCGCGGCGGCGGCGCCGGCGGCTTCACCACGGACACACCTGCTCCTCCTGCTCCTGCTCCTCCAGCACTGGCGCTGTGATACTGCGTCGCCTGGCTGGCGCTGTTCGTGTCCAGCGACTCGGTGCGCTGCAGCACATAGTGCATGGCCTGCTGCGCCTGGTGGGGATCGCTGCTGCTGCTGCTCCGCTGCAGTCCCGGCTCAATGTGCGCGGGCCGCAGCACATAGCGATAGCTCGGGTCCAGATAGTGATAGGTGAGCATAAACTGTGCCGGCGGCGGTATGATAACCGGCTGCTGCCGCAGCGCCATGTTGGCCACATCCTCCGTGGACAGGGCCGGGCGATAGAAGCCCGGCTCATTGACGCCCGGCTCTGTGGGCGAGATGCCGTCGTTCTCGCTGGGCGAGCTGTTGGCGGCATTTGCCTTCTTGCGCGCCGGCAAGCTGTGCGTCTTCCACTTGCCCTCCAGCAGCTCACGTTCGCGCAGATGCACGCGCTCCAGCTCGTTCATCTTCTGCTGCAGCATGCTCTGCAGCTGTATATAGCGCATGTGCAGATCCACCTGTTGGACACGGACGCATTTCTTTAGAGGATTAACTGGAGAAAGACGATCCGACAAGTACTCACCTTGCGCACGCAATCCTCGAAGAGCACAACCATGCGCATGCGCAGCTCGCACTTCTTGATGAACTCCACAATTGTCTTGTGATCGGCCTTCTCCATGTCGTTGCCATTGATCGAGAGTATAACGTCGCCCTCGCGCATCCCGGCCCTATAGGCCGGCCCACCATATTCCACATAGTCCACGTACGTGATCATCTCCAGCTCCTCGTCGCACTTGTAGTGTATGCCATAGCTCTGCAGCGTGAAGCCGTACGAGTCGTTCTTCTTCTCCACAATGATGGTGCGACGCCGTCGATCCTCGTCCGGCTTGGAGGCCAGAAAACGCTCCGACTTGTAGCGGCCCAGGATGTGGGTGGAGCGCGATAGCTGCAAGGGCGAAATGTGAGTTAGAAGTCGGCATGACTATGGGATATTTAAAAGCTACATCATATAGCTGCCATGGAACTTCCTTGTTCTCCCCTAAATCTTACCCAAACTCAGCTTTAGTAGTAGTCACATCTGTCTGAAATATATCGCCCGGAAATATACCTTGGTCATCTGTCATAAGTCTGCAAGGTTATCTATATATTCTCTTCCTTACCCCTACCCTGAACCCATCACAAATGGGAAGGAAGCATATCCGAGCCCATAAAGTTGACATATTCTGGATCAAGAAGACGAGCTATATTATCCTATCCTATCATCCTATAACATACGCATAATGAATAGTTTTCTTTCGTTATCCCCTCCCAGTATTATAATATCAATTTCAAAACATGGTTTTTTGGCATTACTCAAAGATTATAAAAGCTGTAGACTCTTCTAGTAGACATATTCTTAAACAAGAAGACGGGCTGCTTCAGATCGAAGAAGAAGTCTTTTCCGCAGGAAGAATTTATCGGTTTCTTTCGATATCTCCTAACATTTTCAAAATATCGATTTCAAGACCTGCTTTTTTTTGGGTATTACTCGTAGATTATAAAAGCTATAGACTCCAAATTTGGTATGTAGACTCTTCTTTAGTATGGAAATAATTAAAGAATGATTTTTTTCTGATAGCCCCCATTTCCCCAAAAATCAAATTTCCCCAAATTGAATGAACTAGTTACTAAAAAAACAAACTTGCGCTTTAGTATATACATTTAAGACCTGATAATTTCCAACAAATAGAAGTTAATCCAGACTGTATTTTCCCATACGAAATGTGTGGCCAAGGTAAGAGGAAGCACAGCCCACCTCCTATTGAAGAAAGCTAGAATTTTTATAGCGGCAGGGTATAGGGTATCCTCTAGTCGGGCAATACCTAATAGAGCTTAAGGATTTGCTTTCATTTGAATAGCTTTAAAAAGCGGCCATCGGGCGTCTAAGCCATTTATGGCATTACAAATGTCCTGTCGCTTTCTCTCTCTCTCCCTTTCTCCCTTTCTCCCTCTCTCTCTCTCTCTCTCTCTGTTTGTGTGTCCTTAGTAAAGATTTAATGAAAAGCCCTGCGCTGTCTATTTAACTATAACATGTGTGTGTGTGTGCCTGTTGATGTCTGTGTGCCTTGTTTGCTTTCCATTGTTTCAACAGTCCCCTCCCCCCCCCCACCGTCCTCCTCACCCCCTTGGGCCAGACTCTGCTCAGTGAAAGTGTTGTCTGCGCCATCCTCATAGCGTATTCATGGAAAACTGTTTGTTAAAAGTTGGAAAACGTGCTGCTCTTAAGCCTGGCCAACAGTTGGCAAACATCATTTCATATCGCAGCGGCAGCTCGTGGGCAGCCGCCGGCCATTTGGTGTGCCACATTTGTGGCTGAACCTAAATGAATATCCCCAGGTGTTAACTGCTATATATGCCCTGTAAACTGTTAGCAGCGGGTGGATTATGCTTAGTGTTTAGAGGTATGTAACTGAGCAGAAGATGAAATCTTTATTCTTCTTTATTCTTGATCATCATCAAGATGTTAATGTTACATGTTAATTATTTAACTACATGTTAATTATTTAACCAGATGTTAAATATTAGGAATATAATATTGGGAGATAGGCTTGATTCGGATCAAATACAAAAGGGTATGATTTGTACTTTATGGAGTTTTGAAGAATCTCTTCTAAATACATTGCCTTGAAAAAGGTACCTTGGTTTTTAGTTATTTTATTTTTATTAATTAGATTAACTTTAATACATTGATATTATATTATAAATAATACTATAGCTAATTACAAAAAAAAAAAAAAAACGCTAGCGTTCAGGCCCTCAACTCCTATTTCTTATTATTAATATTCTTATCATAAGTTTAGAACAGAAGTAAGGCTATGAAGCATTGAGTGAGAATTTCGAGAAATTCCCTCTCCAAATTTTTGAAAAAGTTTGTCAAAGTTTGTACGAAAAATATCAACAACAAAGCAACCTTATAAGTGTGCTTTGTAAACGTGACGTCATGAGCCTGCGTGGCTGCCGTAGCTGCCCGAGCGTTGAACTAGCAAAAGAGAGGTCACCGGCTCAAATTTTACATTTGTTTTCATTTTTTACATTTGCTTATTTAGTTTGTTATTGCACTAAAAAAAATTAAGAAATAAAAGAAGTTCAAACAAGCCAGAAGTTGGCGGGAATTACGCTCACAATTTCGGTACCGATTGCATTTTAAATGTTAGTCATTTGACCCAGGCTGGGCTAGGTATATATATTGACTAAAATACCTTTATATAAAGGTATAGATATACTACGCTTTCATGCATATTACACAAGCTGAATGTTTGTTTTTTTTGGTCTGCACATTTATAAATATTAAATGCAATCAGACGCTCGGGAATCAGACCCTAGAAAATTCTAATATTCAAGCGAGAAGTTGAGTAGGTGAAGCAGCTTTAAGCACTGAAATATGCAAGGCAGAACACACAAATAGTAGCTGCCGCACTTTTATGAATATGTATAATATAAATATAAAAATAAATGGCATAGTAAATTCCACATGCAGCTAGAACGAGCCACGAGCTGGGCCTCCACAACAAACAGTTCCGGTTTCGGTTTCAGTTTCATTTTAACATTTCCAAGCATTACACAAAAATATCATAAAAACCATAATTCAATTAATTTCATGAACAAAGGCCGCGGAGTAGGGCACGTCCAAACGTTTTCGGAGTTCGGGGTAAGGGGCTCGGATTGATGGCGTGTCGCTGCTTCCGGAGCATTGAATTATTTAAAGTTGATTGGCGAGGCGCAGCCTTGGTTTTGTGCTGGCCAAGTGTCTGGCCAAGCGTGAACTTTGCTAGGTTAAACAGCTGAGGCGGCTTTCAACCCCTGAACTGCCCACACTACTACTAACAAAAACAAACATCAAAAGCCACCACCAGCCAGGGTTGCCTACTCAGCTGACAGCTAGCCAAAACAGGCTATTTTTAGCTATTTTTACACTCTGAATTCAGCTATTTTCTTGCAGCGAAAACTCGTGCTGCCAATTCAGCTTTAAGCTAGCCAAATCAGGCTATTTTTAGCTATTTTTTACCCTTTGAATTAAGCTAAATTCTTGCAGCGAAATCTAGTGCTGCCAATTCAGCTGTAAGCTAGCCAAATCAGGCTATTTTTAGCTATTTTTTACTCTTTGGATTGAGCTAAATTCTTGCAGCGAAATCTAGTGCTGCCAATTCAGCTGTAAGCTAGCCAAATTTGGCTATTTGAAGACGTTTTTAGCCGGAAGAAATTTTAAGCTGATTTAACTATTTTTGGGCATATTAATTACAAGTAATGGAAGTAATTGCCAATTTGTATTCAGAAAGTTATTTCAGCTATTTTTACCAATTTTTTCTATAAATTCAGCCGCTATTTTTGAGGCGGAAACTAGTCTTGCCAATTCAGCTGAAAGCTGAAGACATCTTCAGTCGGAAACAGTAGAACTTTCATGCTGATTTAGCTATTTTCATACTTGCTGATTAATCTAGAGGGAAAATCATGAACAAAAAGCAAGGCCTCATGAAAATCGGTTGAGTTTTGACCGAGTTATGCGAATGGGAAATTTTTACTCATGTCTATACACGAATCCTAGGAGTAAGATTTTGACATGAATTTCGACTAAAAAATGTGTTGTCAGATTTAAATGCCAGATTATTTTAGAGGAAAAACCATGAAGAAAAAACTAAACCTCGTGAAAATCGGTTGAGTTTTGGCCGAGTTATGAGGGTGGGAAATTTTGGCCCATGTCTATATACGAATCCTAGGGGTAAGATTTTGACATGAATTTCGACAAAAAAATGTATTGTCAGATTTAAATGCCAGATTATTTTAGAGGGAAAACCATGAAGAAAAAACTAAACCTCGTGAAAATCGGTTGAGTTTTGGCCGAGTTATGAGGGTGGGAAATTTTGGCCCATGTCTATATACGAATCCTAGGGGTAAGATTTTGACATGAATTTCGACAAAAAAATGTATTGTCAGATTTAAATGCCAGATTATTTTAGAGGGAAAACCATGAAGAAAAAACTAAACCTCGTGAAAATCGGTTGAGTTTTGGCCGAGCTATAGGGGTGGGAAATTTTGGCCCATGTCTATATACGAATCCTAGGGGTAAGATTTTCACATGAATTTCGACTAAAAAATGTGTTGTCAGATTTAAATGCCAGATTATTTTAGAGGGAAAACCATGAACAAAAAGCCAAGCCTCATGAAAATCGGTTGAGTTTTGGCTGAGTTATGAGATTGGGAAATTTTGGCCCATGTCTATATACGAATCCTAGGGGTAAGATTTGGACACGAATTTCGACTAAAAAATGTATTGTCTGATTTAAATGCCAGATTATTTTAGAGGGAAAACCATGAAGAAAAAACTAAACCTCGTGAAAATCGGTTGAGTTTTGGCCGAGTTATGGGGGTGGGAAATTTTGGCCCAAGTCTATATACAAATCCTAGGGGTAAGATTTTGACATGAATTTCGACTAAAACATGTGTGGTCAGATTTAAATGCCAGATTATTTTAGAGTGAAAACCATGAAGAAATAACTAAACCTCGTGAAAATCGGTTGAGATTTGGCCGAGTTATGGGGGTGGGAAATTTTGGCCCATGTCTATATACGAATCCTAGGGGTAAGATTTTGACATGAATTTCGACTTAAAAAATGTGTGGTCAGATTTAAATGCCAGATTATTTTAGAGGGAAAACCATGAACATAAAGCCAAGCCTCATGAAAATCGGTTGAGTTTTGGCCAAGTTATGGGGGTGGGAAATTTTTGCCCATGTCTATATACAAATCCTAGGGGTAAGATTTTGACATGAATTTCGACTAAAACATGTGTGGTCAGATTTAAATGCCAGATTATTTTAGAGTGAAAACCATGAAGAAAAAACTAAACCTCGTGAAAATCGGTTGAGATTTGGCCGAGTTATGGGGGTGGGAAATTTTGGCCCATGTCTATATACGAATCCTAGGGGTAAGATTTTGACATGAATTCCGACTAAAAAATGTGTGGTCAGATTTAAATGCCAGATTATTTTAGAAGGAATATCATGAATGAAAATCCAATCCGGATGAAAATCGGTTGAGATTTGGCCGAGTTATGGGAGTGGGAAATTTTGACCCGTTTCTGTATACGAATCCTCAGCTACGGAAACCAATTTTGAATTTTACAGTAGATATTTTAAACTGGTTTTGGTATTTTTGTATTTGTTTTGTGTTCTGAAAGTAATTTCGGCAATTTTTATCTATTATATTCGAAGCGGAAACTCGTGTTAGCAATTCAGATGTAATCTAGCTAAATAAGGAGTTTTAAAAATGTCTCCAGGCGGAAACAGTAGACATTTTAACCTGATTTAGCTTCATATTTTTTAATGACAAGCCCTGGGTATTCTATTGCTTTTGCTATTTTTAAGTATTTTTATTTTGAATTCAGCTACTTTTTTTTAAGCGGATGCGTGTGTTGGCAGTTCAGCCGTTTTCTAGCAAAATATGGCTGTTTTTGACTAATTTCTATTTTCTTGGCATCTAAAATTAATTCAGCTTTTCTTAAGCTACATTTAACATTTGGATTCAGCTACTTTTTGTGATGCGACCGTTGGCAACACTGGCACCAACACGACGGGTATATGTGTATGTGTATGTGTATGTGTATGTGTATAGAGAGTTATGGCTGGGGGGCAACCAGCAGCAACCAGCTACCACCCGCCACCCGCCACCCGCCACAAGGCAATTTCAATTGAGCCCACGCTGCAGGACATCGCATTATGACTCAATAAGCAGCCGACGAGTGGGTGGACGATACTTTGCCTCACCTCTCCCCCTTTTTCAATTAATGTGCTGGCCACATACCTGCGCATACTCGAGCTCCTCGTCGCTGGCATCGAGACTCTTGTGATGAAACTTAAGGCGACCCAGGCTGCCCGTGCCGTTGACATAGTGAGACGCTGCCGGCGGCTGCTGCTGGTGCTGGTGCGTCAGATGCTGCTGCTGCTGCGGCGGCTGCATGCAGGCGGCGGCTATGAGGGAACCGACTGAAGTGGCATTCGAAACGGACATGGAGACGGCGGCTGCTGTTGTGGCGGCACTGCTGGCCGCCGTGGCGATGCTCTGGCAGCTGCTGCTCATGGTTTTATCTATTGATTTCTGCACGCAATCATATTGCCCAGGCAAGTCTCTTGGCCAGCGTCTACGACTACGAAGGCGACCCCCGACAACAGATACCGACAAAAATTGCACAGAACCTTTAACGTTTTCTATTAACTGAATATCTGAACACGGTATTAAATTGCTGAAGCGCTCGCTTTAAGCGCTGGCCACGTTATAATTCCAATTAGTCATAACATTGACCAAATTGCTGCTGCCTATTATTTTGTTTTGTTGGAAAACTTTTTCAGATTCGTGCGGCGGCGGCGGCCGTCGTGTGGGTTTCCGCTTCGCTTGTTCCACTTCCGTTCGCGTTTGGTGCCGTACTGAGTGGCAAAGAGCAACCGGACATGGGAGTATATGCAACTAGAACATTACCGTTAGTACTTATTTATGGCACATGTTGACTGTCAGCCGCGGCGTTGCATGGCAAACGCGATAGAAACAACGCGCGCTCTCAGTTCAAAAGCGCATGCGCAGAGCTGCCACCTTCGCACAACACACACACAACAATCATCTGGCAGCACTGTTCCAATAAGTGCTGACAATGTTAGCGGAATGTTATATTGAAAGCAGCTAAATTGGTATTAACAGTTTTGTTGGTTCCTCTCATTGGGATGCCAGGTAATGGCTAAATGGGACTAAAACTGCAACTGTTCCCGCCAGACGACCTCTGAAAATAGCCGAATTTAGCTATAAATTAGTTAAATTGCCAGTACTGGAGCCAATGTGACCAATTAAACACTTGATTTCATTTTATTCATGTTTATTGAGAGTGTAAAAAGTGTATAAAATTGCTATTCAGCCAGCTCTCCACCAGGCACCAACTGTAATTAAATAATATATTTATAATCAAAAAAGTTGCATCTCAGCTGTTGCCATCTCCTACTCACCATTGTAATGTTGTTACCATTAAGCAGAATCTGATCTAGTTTTGTGATGCGGCGTCCATCGGGCGTGTTCTCGTATTCCGTTACATCGTCGAGCAACATGTTGACGAAATCATCAAAGCCCAGCAGGGTGCCCACCATTTCCTTGTCGTTCTTCATGATGATGTGAATTCTGGAACCGATGCATTTGTCCACCAGTTCTGCCGGCAGCATGACAAACGTTTAAAATGCTTACAAATTGAAATTATTTCGTTGCTTACCCAATGGCATCAGTGTGGATATGTTTGCGGGCGGCGGCACAGCAGTCATTTTGCGTATTTCACTCAAAAAACTAAACAGAAACAACAAAGTTTAATAAGCGCCGAGCAAATGCGGCAAATGTTTTCGATAATATGTGAGTACGTGGTGAATTTAGACATCAGTTTAACATGCGAGTGTGTGGTGAATTTGGGACTCGATATTTTTACTGAGCATAGCTGCAGGCGAGCAAAGCAGCCGGTCTTTTGCTATAGTTAAAATTAAAAAAAAAAACAATAGCCGCTGCGATGAACGACGGTAAATTATTTATTTATAAATATTATAAGCACACTAATAGTTTACCTACGCAGAGGAGATTATAAAACAGCGTCTGCTAATTGATGGCGATGGCACGGGCGAAGACCGCAGACTGAACATGCTTTTAAAACAGTTCCTGAAATGGGCCAACTCCAAGAACGACTCTCCGGAGACCAAGTAGGGACCCACACAAATCATCCACAATTAATGCTCATTAACAAGCTTAAATTTTAGTCAAATAATGTTCGATCGTTTGATGGCGCAGCTGGCACAATGTCAATTTGCTGCCTTGAAAAATGTGCAAACGCTGCGCATGATCCAGGAGGAACAGGAGAACTACACTAAACTGGCGGAAAAGCATCAGGAGAGCATCGAATTGGCTAAGGAGGAGATCGAGGCGAGCAAGAAGGAGCTAATCATAGCCAAGGAATTACGCAAAAATAAAATGGAATACGATTTGCTCGCCTCGCTCATCGAGGAGCAGCCGGATCGCAAGGCTACCGAGAAACAAATCGAGACCATCAAAAAGGAGATCGACAAACTGACACAGAAGAAGCTTAAGATGGAGTTCAAGTTCCAGAAACGTCGCAACGATTTCACGCTGCTGATGTACACCATACACGAGCTGGAACAGCAGCTGGAGGAGGAGAACAGCTCCGGCTCGTCGTCATCATCAAGCGAAAGCGACGCCGCATCCGTTGATAATAACGATAATAATGGCATCATGGAGGTCAGCGACGACGACGATGACGATGAACTGAACAACATTGTGACCAACAAATTCGATAGCAATCGCGGCAAGCCAAAAGAGAACTCCGCCTCAACAGAGAGCTCCAAGGAACCCATAACCATGTCTGTGGACGAGGATGCCGTGCTGGAGCTGAGCATTGAAAAGGATGAGCACGACGTGGACGTGGCTGTGGCCAGTTAGACAGGAGTACAAATTAGTTTTACAATAATAAAAAACAATTTATTTACAGTCAACAATTAGGCTGATTTAAATGCGAGATCCGCCACGAGAGCCACGTGATCCGAGGGAAACGTGACGGACGGTATAGCTTCGTTGGCACTCAACTCCTCCACCGTGGGCAGCGGCACAGACTGCAGCAAATCAAAGCAATCGCTTTGGTAGAATATATAATCCAAGCAGGCCGCGAAGAGAGTCGTGTAATTGGTGTACGGCGGTGTGCCGCAAGCGGAGCTCATCATGAATAGCTGCCGGAGCTCCACATCTGTGACAGCCTCCTCCGTGTTGCTGCGCCAGTCCACAAAATCTGGGCCCACAAACCGTTCGGTCATCAGCTTATAGATGCCACATTCCGGCACGCTATTGAAGTCGCCGCAGAATATGAGTCCAATATTTTGTGAACCAATATTGCGTTCCTTTATGGTCTGCCTGTACATGTGCTCCACAAAGATGAGCGAGAAGCCAATCTGCAGCAAGCGTATGTGATCCGCATCCGGATGGAAGTAGAGATGTGTATTGGCCACCAGCACATAGCGACCCGTCTCCCGCAGCTGCAGCAGACACAACTGCAATGTGGTGGACCTGTCGCATATGCGCTTGGCCAGCTGTTCGTTGTGCTTAATCCGATTCCAGAGTGGTGCGAAGATGGGCAAGGTGCTTATGTTGTCGCCGAGGTGCAGGACATAGTTGTGGAGCAGCTGGAACCGCGACTTGCGATAGAACAGGGCAATGCCCTCGGCGCAGGCGCCCTTGGGCGTCATGATGCCAGCGAAGCTATGCTCCAGCACGTGCTGCAGATCGTGCTCAAATATCTTGAGATCCACCTCCTGCAGGCACAGCAAGTCCGCATTATAGCCAACCAGCTCCTTGATGAACAGCTGCTTGCGGTACTCCATTTTCAGAGCAGCCGGCGCGCAGTAGGGAAACAGAGTCTTGCGCGCATAGTCCCCATCCGCATAGAGATCGGCCAGCAGATTGTAGCTGACCACGCGTATCTCATGGAGTCCGCTCAATGGCTGGCGGGTATGTTGCTGGCGCAGCTCAAAGGGACAAGCATCGGGTCCCGGCTGAACCGGCAATTTACTGATGCATTCCGTCGCGGGACCCGAGAGGCCACTCTCATTTGCCGGCGTCACGACCAGCTTTAAATGATAGCCTATATCCGCGGGCGCTACTTGATAGATCAGACCCTGGCCGCATGGCTCCCATTGGGTTTTCTCATTAAAGATTCCCGATGCGGGCTTTGTTGCTTTATACCATTCACCTGAACTGTGCGTCCGGCTGGCAAACTGCAGTTCGAGCTTCAGCGGGTAAACCAGGCAGCCAGCCATAATGGAGCTGGGCAACTGGAGTGCCCCAGTCCAAGGCTCATTCAGCACCACATCAAATGTGGTGTCCAAAACGCGCAGTTTAAGTTCAACATTTGCAAGGTCCGACAGCAACTCGGCAAAAGTGATGCCCAGGATGCGTTCCTCGGACCCGTCCCGATGCAGCTCCACAATTATCTCATCCGGATTGGGGGGCGCCGTGGTCTCGGCAGCAGCTGGTGCGCCCTTGGTCTTCTTCCTGCTGCGTTTGCTCAGCTCCTTCTCGACGTTGTTCCGTATGCGGGTGAGGGCTTCATCCACACGCTCGTCCATGCGCCGGCAGAAGTTAAAGCTGCGATCCAGCTTGAGCTCCTTGTTGGCATAGCGAAACGTAATGTGCAGCTCCTCGGTATTTTCTGCATGGCGCAGATACACTTTATCCATGGCGACGGCTGTGCTGTGCGGCCGTATACTACGTAAGCAAGTCGAAAGTGCAGTTACTCGAAATTGTTGTTGGAATAACTTGAGCGAACACAAACGAGAAACTTTTGCAATCATTGCCTTGCCGGCGTGCTGTTTTAGTCAGTGTTGCCAGCACAGCTTTTTTATAGCTAGTTTTATCAATGTTTCGGTCGTCAGCCGTAAACAGTGAAATTATTTACCTACTTTTGTAGGCTATTTAGCCATTTTTAGTTATTTAAAACATTGAATTAAGCTACTTTTTTGAAGCGGCCGGTGGCAACACTGTCTCTGTTATGAAAATATGCGAATACTTAGGCGGCCAATTTAAACTCTGAAATCTTTTCATAATTAGTGATTTCTGTCTGCTGTTCAAACTTTCGAAAAGATACCATATTTTTGAAAATAACAATGGTTGATTAGTACCCGTCAAAACTATGAAATTAGGACTTTATATGCTTATGTAGTAATCGATAACAGCGTTACTCTGTAATTTTACGTTACCTCGCTGTTATGATTAGTTAGTCAGCAGTAGTTCCAATGAGCGACAATCAGTTCGCCTAGTTCATTTGTTCAGTAGAGTCGTCGCTCAAACGAACTTGGGCCAAACGTTTTGATACCAACTCGAATGCAAATGTAAAATCGCGCACCAAATACTAATTGAAAGTTTAATTTTTAATAATACAAGCATTGGTGCATGTCTCTTGCACCAACAGTTATACACAATGACGAGTGATGACAAAAGGTAGGTGGCAAAATAACAAATTAGCAAGCAAAGCTTTGTGAGGTTATGTGTTTGTGTGCTGTGCGTGTGTATGCGTGTGCGATACGTGTGTATGTATATTAATTTGTGGTGTGTGCTTCCAAGCAGTTACGACTCCAGCGACAACAGCGAGACCGAGGAGCGTCGCGCCAAGCACAAGAAGTCCAAAAAGCATAAGAAACACAAAAAAACCAGCTCCAGCGAAAAAGTGCACAAGAAGCACAAGAAGTCCAAGAAGCGCCATCAGCGACCAAGCGAATCCTCAAATGCTGGCGCCCAAAGTCTTAGCAGCAAATTCACCGAGATCATGCAGGCGGCCAGCCGGGAGCGCAGCACCATACTGTCGTCCAACGGTTCCGCCGACTTTCGCATCGTTAAACCAAATACGGATCCGTGCAGCCTGGTCGAGGAGATAACCAAAACCATACAGAATAAGGTGCTGCCCGTGCTGGAGGTGGCCACCTCGGGTAGCGAGAGTGAAGTGTATGTATTAAATGACAAAAAACCTAAAAGAACATCTGTCTTTGGCACGCCGAAGATTAAATACCCTTGTGGAAGTTTGGCTTACGGTTTGGCAGGTATGTGAGGAACTCTCCTCCTAGTGAAGATATCTTGAAAACTTGTCAACTGATTCTTCCTGTAGAGCTATGTGTTATAGTCCGATGTTCATGACATATGAATCATATATTTTTCTCATTTTCGACCGACTATTTCGATTGCAAAGAAACCGACAGACGGACATGATCTGAACTGTTCAAGATATAGATGTTCACAGATGTCTCGTTCTATGGGTTGAAATAGCCTCTAAAGGATTATAAAAAGTGTTACAATAATAATCAGATACTTATACCTAATTTCAGCCCCATTGACATTGCCAGTCCTGTGTTGCCGGCCAAGCTCGAGGATGAGCTCAATTTGGAGGAACTGATGAAGCAAAAGGCGCTGCTGCAGGCGCGTCTGGGCGCCTACATGTCAGACACGGAGGGCGACGAAAGTCGCTCCAATTCGGTGCTGGCTAAGCGCAGGCGCGACGAGCTGCAGCAGCAGCAGCAGGCCATTATAGCAGCTATTGAGGTGCCGCAGGGCAGGCCGAGCTCGCAGTCTGCAGCGCCGCTGGCAACTGCAACTAGTAAACATGTTAATAATAAACAATCTAACATCAATAACTCAAACGAACCCGATGTTATATTATTGGATGATTCTAGCGGTGGTCAGCGCACGCCCTCGCCCACGCCGGAGAAGCGACGACGTCACGCATCGCCCGCCCGCCCGCAGAGAAGTCGCACACGTGAGGACACATCGCTGGCAGCGGGACGCTCACGCGATCGACGCTCCCGCGATCGTATGTCCCGCGATCAA